CCGAACCCTGCAGTGTGGGTCTGTTAGTCTCTAGGTCTCTCTCTGCCCCACCTCGCATGCCGTCTCTAGGTGTCCTAAAATCTTTGTTATGATCATGCTATGTCTGCCCTTCTAGGGCAATTTCTCAGCTACGGTCTAATACAGGGGCTGGTTTGGGCAGGGCTGTCTTCCTAGACTCTATCCTAGGATCCATGTTTCTATTTTTAGTGTCAGTGTCCTTTGCATAACAAATACAGAGGTGAGGCTATTGCCGGCCTTGAACAAGATGAGACAAAACAAAAAAAAAGAAGAAAAAAAGTAAAGAGGGGTTGGGTAGGCACTGAGAAGGTAGCTTAGTGATGGGGCATTTAGCTGACATGTGCAAGGTCCTGGGCTCGATCCCTAGCATTGGAAAAAAGAAAGAATGAGAGAGAGAGAGAGAGAGAGAGAGAGAGAGAGAGAGAGAGAACTGAACAGGAACCTAGAAATTTCCCCATCTCTGTAGGGCATCTTTACTTTGAACCAGAGCCTCCTGCAGCAGGAGTCGGAGGCATTTAGATCCCCTTATACCAGAAAATCTCTCTGTCTCTCTCTGTCTCTCTGTCTCTGTCTCTCTGTCTCTCTGTCTCTGTCTCTGTCTCTGTCTCTGTCTCTGTCTCTGTCTCTGTCTCTCTCTCTCTCTCTCTCTCTCTCACACACACACACACACACACACACACACACACCCTATAACTGTGGGCCACCTCGGCTTTTTCCTCTTTAGCTAGGACAGCTCCCAGTTGAGAGGCCCTTGCCTTGGAAAGCTCAAGAACAAAGATTTTATCCACAAACACCTGGGAGTCCTGGGTACAAAGACTTGAAGTCATACAAAGCACTAAGCATAAGAAAGGCAATTTATATGTCACCAAACAAGAGGCTGCATCTCATGAGGCATCTTCAGGAAGCTTTCGAGATTGGGTATCAGCGACTTAGCTCCAGGAGCTCAGCTGCAGCCTAAAGCTTCAGTGGATTGAGCCCAGTGCCAATGTCGGGGAGGAGGAGGGATCAAGGTTGACTTCGGTGACTCTTGACAGCTCTACTTTTGAAGTATGGATATCTTCTCTCCTTTGAGCGTGTCCCTTTACAGAAGGACGCTGTCATGGAGAGATGGGAACCGCAGGTGTCACTGACACTGTCTCTGTGCCAGGTTAGAGCTGGGCAGTGTGTGTGAACATCAGAGGAAGAGAAGGAACGGAGGGACTGAGGACAGATGCTGCGGGCTGAACTCACCATCCTCCCAGAAGGCGAAATGCCACAGACAGAAGGGAGGGTCACAGGATAGAAAGGCTTCTTAAATGTCTCTCACATTGGGAGAGATGGGAGGCCCCTCCCGGGGTGGCCTTCTCCCGATGTGTGTCTGTAGCTGCTTCAGCCCTGGGTAAAAGCTACACGTTTATACCTGTTGGAATAAACATGGATGTGTGGAAGGGTTCACTATAAGGTGATTGAGGTAAGAATGAAACTCACAAAGAACTCAGCTTTTCAGCTTCTTTTCCCCATTGAAGTTCTGTGACAATTTTGTACCTGTTCGGAGGCGGAAGCCTTGTAGAGAGGAGTGTGCTGACTAGAACTGGAGATCAAAGAAAGCACATCTTAAAGCAGCTAGGCTGTGCTCGCTGGGGCCAGAAGAGTGCATCTGGAGGGCAGTACGCTCTGGAAGAGCTGCACCAGAGAGGCTGGAATCCACGGTCCCTTGGCCCAAGCTTTGGTGTGCTTATGGCTGCCTGCATGCTGTGCATGATGGGTGAACTGGAGAGACATTGGTCCTGCCTTCATGAAGTGCACAGTCTGTCAAGGAAGCCAGGTTCTGAGTTAGTAATTCTCAAGGCATGTGTGTATGCATGTGTGCATGTTGGAGGGGTCTAGCTATGGTCTGGGTTTAGGAAGAGCCTCCCGAGGAAGCGTGCTTCTAGCCGAGGTCAAGCAGCCACCAGACAAAGTGACATCTGATGAGTAGGATCTGCGCAGTCTGAATCAGCAGATGGAGCGATCTGGAGCCACGTAGGTGCCTCGCAAACACCAGGTGGATGATGAGGGAGTCGGGGATCTGGGGCACAGGGGACTGAGCGAAAGTCTGTCCTGGAGGGAGTGATCCTGGGATAGCAAGCTGAAGCAGTTCTGGCTGCAGCCTTAGAAGAAAAACATTCGTGCATGAGATGTCCAGAGACGTAAACGAGAAGGGAAGGACATGATTTTATGCCCATGGCAATGGGGGCGGGGAGGTTATTGAAAGGACTGAAGGGGCCCCTGCTGTCCTGTGTGACTTGTATTTTTAAAGATTATTTACTTTCATGTGTATGCACCTGGCTGTAGGTATACCCACCATGTGTTCAGGTGCCCATGGAGGCCAGGAGATGGCACTGGCTCGTCATGAAACTGGCTTTTATAAAATTTCTGCCAACATAGGCACTGGAATTGAACCTAGGTCCTCAACAGCAGTAGCAAGTGCTTTTGGTCACGAAGCCCAGCCCCAAGTTTCAGTTTTAAATGCATCAAAGCTGACAACCTGGAGAGAGCTAGGTAAAAGGACGAACAACTGTCTACGTCCCATGGTGCCTCCTTAACCTTCCTCCGCTGATGGACTCTTAAGTTCCCCTGTGTAGGAATTTCAACTCGGGCCACTTCCTTTCTAGGTGACCATGGGTTTAGTCGTTTTATTCCTCAGCTGTGCTAAGAGGACCTGGTGAGCCTGACGTCATGGGCCATAACCTTGTCCTGTCTTGGCTTGGCATGTTTACACAGTGTTTACACAGGCACAGACTAGGTGAGAGGGCCAAGGAGGAATCCTCATGGCCTGGCTGTTCTCAGAGAGCTAGATCTGTGCCCAAGATCACCAGAGGCTAACGTGGGAGAACCCTGAACTGGCCTTCCTTTATCAAGGCTTTTAGCAGTCACGAAACCTCAGGACAGTTAGCTATCTTAATGTTCTGTCATTTGGTTTCTGGTGGAAAGGGCCCAACACGCAGAGGTAGTGAATTAACACACATTTCTATCTTTAAAGAAGGGAGATAAGAAGTCACTGTGTGGACACTGGGGTGTGGGAAACTGCCATGGCTCCCACTGTGCACTGAGTCTTTGTCTTTGTCTCTTAATGCCTATAGCTCCAGGCCCCTGTCACAGACAGACCATCCCTCTGGCCCTAGCTGCAGCTTCCTCGCCATGGAAACTCTCACCACAGCCCGATGGTGGCCATGGAGGCTTGCCTGTCCCTCTGAAGTCCTGTGTTCTGTGCTAATGCTAGCTTCCAGGACAGACACAGCCTCTTACAGTAACTAGAGGATCCAGGCCAAACCTTTGGTCTCTGTTCTTCAAAGTCTGGTCAGACATTGATAGACGCAATCGAGGAGAATGTTTGTTTTCTTTGAGGCAGGGTCTTGTTATGCAGCCCAGGCTGGTCTTGAACTTGGGATCCTCCCAGCTCATCCCCCAGTGTGTTGGAACTATGGGTGTGCAGCACTGGTGTTTCTTCACACCAATAGAAACCCTAACCAGGGCACTGGGGGATGGGCTGGCTTTGTTTGTATAAAAAGCGGGTTTTACTCTACCCACTCCCTCTGTGTTATTTAGTATTTATGTTTACTGGGTCTCTTAGGGAGAATCCAAGTGAACTGGGAGGTGCAGAATGAACTGCCTTGACTGTGCCCCAAGTGGGATCAGCATTTCTTACCTGTTGGCCCCCTTTCTGTTCTCCTGGGCCGTGCAGAGACTCACAAAACCTCAGAATTGTTGCCCAGGATTGGGTGGGACTAAGAAGAGTACTACTGCTTGTCAGTCATCTGACTTAGGAGAGCCAGATTGCCTGATTGTAAGCTCTGGATCCCCTTCCTTTCCTGGTGTGTGTGTGTGTGTGTGTGTGTGTGTATGTGTGTGTGTGTTGTATGTGCTTGTTTGTATGTGTGTGTGCAGGTGCAGGTTGACCTTGGGTTTTCTCTGTCATGCTCGAAATTACTTTTTGGAACAGGGTCTTTCAGTGACCCTGCAGTTCATCCATTTGGCTAGGCTGGCTGTCCAGGGAATCCTCTTCTCTCTGTGTTCTCGCTCCTAGCATTGCGGTTATAGATTCTCTAAGCTCAGCTTTCTTGTGGATGTCGGAGAGCCAAACCCAAGTCCTCAAGTTCCCACAGAAAACAAACCATCTTCTCAGTCCCTCTGGAGACTTCCATGCACTCCTTCCCAGTCATTTCCTGGGCTTAGATGCACCCAACTGGGATATGGCCAATTTTGGCACTGTTTATTCTTAAGTGTAAGGTTTAGGATGACAGAGATGGCTCAGTGTGCAGAGTGGTTGCCACAGAAGCCTGACAGCCTGAGCTGAAGTCTCGAGAACCCATATAAAAGCCAGACATAGTAGCATGTCTGAAATCCCAGGCCTCTCCTTCTGGGACAGCTGATGGGCCAGCTATGCTGGTATACAGCTATGCGGGTATACGCAGCCATGAATGAGAAAGACCCTGTCTCAAAGTGGACAGTGAGGACTGCCTTTTGACCTTCACATATACACTGTGGTAGCATGAATTTACACATACTGACACACACATACATACATGAACACAAACATATACCACACACACAATAGGACTTTTTCCCCACTATTTTTGCATAATCAATTTGATTGCACAGTTTTCAAAGGTGAACTTTGTGGGTGACAAGGCCATGTCAGAATGTCAAAAGGTTGGACACCCCTGATGGTTGTTGCTATTACTGGACTGTCCTTCTACATGTTAGGCTTTTGAGAGCTTTATTTAAGTCTAGAAACAGAAGTATCTGGGGCCATGTGTCTAACATGCACTCTGGGCTCTCATACAAGTGTGACAAGGAAGGGAGCCTGTGTGAAGAAGGAGCCGACTCCTTGTTCTTCCCAGGGCTCTGAACCATACACTAAAGAGAAGCAGTCTGGCTTCCACATGGAGTTGGGGAGTGCGTTTACTAGGATATGTGTGAATCCGTCACCTCCACGTCATAGCTGGGATTTCCAAGAGGAACAACGCAAAACCACTTTATTTTTGGTCATGGGAGAAACGACAGCTGCAGCAGGTACACTTAGGTCAGGTTAGAAGTCACTTTCTCTCCATCAGGGAGGACCTCTGGATGAGCACGGCCCCATCACTCACTCAGCTGGCAGAGCAACGCGGATCCCTTGGAGATCCAGTAGTCGTTGGGCCGCTTGGAGGGTAAGAGGACGGTCACCACGAAGTTGGTGGAATGGCCTAGAAAAGGACACCAGAGGGGTGGGGGTGCGGTGGGAGAGAAGAGCTGTTAATTAGAGAGTAACCTCTGGATTCACAGAGATGAGATACTGAGAGACCTGGCTGAACCAGAAGATGCTGGGCACAGTCCCTAAAGGTCCCAGTTTCATGCCATACAGAATGAGGTTTTAGAAGCATGGTGCTTTCGGGTCTGCCTGCTTAGACTTGTAACTGATGAGTATGTTTCAGGTTCTCTATAGTCTGAATGTAGGTCACTGGGCTGGGATTTAGGCCTGACATTTCAGTGGGACATAGGGGTATCTAACAGTAGTTAGGGCATCTATTCATGTGGTCATCCATCCATCCATCCATCCATCCATCATCCACCCACTCATCCATCATCCATCCTTCCATCATCCACCCACCCACCCACCCATCCATCCATCTATCCATCATCCATCCATCCATCTTCCTTCATCCATCCATCCATCCACCCACCCATCCATCCATCCATCCATCCATCCATCCATCCATCCATCCTGCATTCCATCCTGCACTGGAAGGGTCTTGGGATCCTGAAATAAATAAACGTAGTGACAGGCATTCTGTCTTCAGTGTTCAGTCATTCAATAGAAAAAGTCACTCAAAGTGTCTTTCCTTGCCACTAAGGGGCTATTGAAAAGATACTATTGTCCGCAGGTGGGAACTTCTTCTTTCAGTGCTGTTTTCTCAGATGCCATCAGTGTGGATGAACATCAGGGAAGGGTGGTGTACCCAGCAGAGGATACTTCTACCTTCTCTTTGATATCGTGTCCCATTGAATATCAGGCTTTCAAGTGCGACAACCCAAGTTCAATGGCCAGCCAAGCCAGACAGTATTCTAATGTATTTACTGGTTAACCACCCCCTTTTAAGGTCACATTTCCCTTCTTCATGCTTCTTTGGGTGCCAGCTCAGTGTATACGTCCCCATAGGCAATCAGCGCCTCAAACACATGAGGCTCCAGGTTTGGAGAAGGACTTGGGACATAACCAACCCCCTACAGTCACTGTGTTTAAGTGGAATCAGTTCTCTGTTGGCCAGAAATGAATTTAGCTGCCTTCCCAAAGCCTCTCACCACTGTTTCCTAAGGGGTTCACCATACAGTATACTCTGTGATGACTCAGAGTTAGACAATAACCATCTCCATCACGTGGAGATGATTGGGATAGATGTGTGTGGCTCATGTCACATATCCACTTGGACCAGGATCCTGGAGGGCTGACATCAGAGGTCTTGTGCTTCTGACAAAACAGGATGGTTACAGCAAGCACACAGTTGCTGTACTGTGGGCTGTGTTTAGAGAAAGCAAAGGTGGGCTGCTTATGAGGGGGAAGTGGGATCCCCTCTGTACGCTGTGAAAGGGTTTTATTACCATTGGTTAATAAAGAAGCTGTTTTGGCCTAAGGCAGGGCAGAATAGAATAAGGCGGGAAGCCCAAGCAGAGATAGAAGAGGAGTCATGCGGAGTCATGCAGATGCCATGTAGCTGCCCAAGAAGCAAGAGGTAACAAACCATGAACCTCATGGTAAAATATAAAATAATAGAAATGGGTTAATTTAAGATGTAAGAGTGAGTTAGTTAATAAGAAGCCTGAGCTAATAGGCCAAAGGGTATGTAATTAATGTTAAGCCTCAGGATGGTTAGTTCATAAGCGGCTGCAGGAGCTGGTGAGCAGGACCCAGTGGGTGGAGAGAAACTGGTTGGAGGAGACCAGGGGAATGGAGGATATTTGTAGCTGCAAAAGTAGGACAACTAGAAGGCAAATGGCAGCTGAATGTGTGTAAGAAAAGGATGTAGGAGGGTTGGAGAGATGGCTCAATGGTTAGGAGTGTATATATATGAACACCAGTGTCAGGCAGTTACAGCCACCTGTAACTCCAGTTCCAAGGGATCTGATGCCCTCTTCTAGTCCCTGTGGGGATGTGCATGCAGGTATACATATTCTCCACACGCCCACCACAAATAAACATAATTAAAAATAAATTGAAGTCTGGGTGTGGTGGTTCACGTCTGTCCCCAGCATTGGGCAGGCAGAGACAGGTGGATCTCTGTAAATTTGATGCCAGTCTGGTCTACATAGCAAGTTCCAAGCTGCCAGAGTTACACAGTGAGACCCTGCCTCAAAAGAAAGGAATGAATAAATAAGAAAGAAAAGGCTGCAGAAATAAAGGCTGCATCCTCCAGAGGATTAGGGTGCTTGAACAGAGGCTATCCAATGGGCTTTAGGACTACAGAGCCTGCTCAGGGAAAGCTGCTGCCTGCAGGCAGGACCAGGGCCTGCACAGGTCCTTAGCTGAACTTGCTCTGAGGTGGGCGGGGACCCCTTCGTGAAGAAACACATTTTATATGTGAGAATATCTCCAGTCTCCATCACCACAGGAGCCTGCCTGCTTTCATCTTCCTTATGCTGCCGCAGCTAACAAGAGACGTGGACAGTCATTCGTCCAGTTTCCAAACAGCATTATCGTGTCGTTCTAAGACATACGGAGAGGCTGCTGGAACAGGCTGGTTAGCCTGACATTAGCTAGGGTCACTGTTCGCGTTTGATCATATGCAGTTTTCCCCTTTGTGGACAGATGGAAACATAGACGCTCCTCGTTGGCTATCTCTCCTTACACACTTCCTCACGTAGCCTCGATGGTTCTGAAGCAAATACCAGGTGACCATTTTTGCTGCCCTTATTTTAGCACGTGTCTCAATCATGATTCCAAAAGACTCAACAACTACATAGCTAAGATGTTAATTTCTAATAGCTGTTCAAACTTTTCCAAGTGTGCATATACAGATGATACGTGTATAGTGCATTGGTAGTTGACCGTTTGATTCAGAATTCAAGTGAGGGCTCTGCCTCACAGCAATGACGTGTGCCCTAAATCCCCTTGAATTCTAAGTCCCCCCCCCCCCCCGCCTCTTTACCACCCACTACAATATATTTGTTGACACAACCAGGCTGTTGGCCCCACTAGATTTCCCGGGCTCTGGACTTGTGAAGGAAGCTTAGACAGAGATGTGCTTACATCCAGGGCTGAGTGCTTTGGTAAGGTCAGTTCCCTGTGATCTGGACCTCCATTAGGAAGCATGCTCACACCTGATTGACTTTTCAGGAGCTGAGCAGTCACTGGTGATTATCACAACCATGCCATTAGGAGCTAAGCATTTTAAAATTTGGTGAATAAGCCTCAAATACCTATCAATGATCTAACTTAAAATCTGTATCTGCAGGTATGTGCCTATCAGCCAGAAGAGGGCATCAAAGGCCCTGGAGAGAGAATCACAGGTTGTCATGAACCACGCGATGTGGGTTCTGGAACCGAACTCCAGTCCTCTGCAAGAGTGACAACTGGGCGCTCCCTGCTGAGCCACTTCTCCGGGGCTAATTGAAGCTTTCATATGTAATATGAGGCGAGAACCTAAACCTAAACGTTCTCCAGCGCCACTTGTGGACTATTTTCTCCATCCCTGGCCAACTTTCCGAGGCGCTGCTATCACTTCAGGTCCTCACAGACCCACAGCGGTGCTGGCTCTCTCTCCAGGGGGCGTCTGGTGGACCTGGGGAGCCCTGGGGTGGGGGCACACTGCTGTAGCTACTGTGGCTGCATCTGTTAGAAACAGACCTCCTGTTTTATTTTACTCGAAGGAAGGGCTGCTGTTCTTTGTTTCCATTTCACACAAGCACCAGAAGAGTTAGCTCTCGCAACAGTTTTAGGAGAGCATTTTAAATTCGGAGATTAATTGAGGAGGGAGTTGGGATCCTGATAACAGCGACTCTTCCCACTGTGGACATGGCTCAGGTTCTCCACTTATTCATGAGCCTTGCTGTGGCTGACCTCAGGAGCCACGAGCTACGTTGTTCTTGTCGGGTTTGCTCCTAGTCTGACTGACTGGGTTCTTAGTGGAGCCAGACCTTTTCTTTTACTTTTTGTTTCCATTTGTTTTCGATGGAACATAGGGATTCTATTGACTGCTTTTGTTTGTTAATTTGTTGGGAGATAGGGTCTAACTGTGTAGCTCAGGCTACAGATATTCCCCCTGTTCCTGCCCACCGGATGCTGGGGTTAAAGGTGTGTGCTAGCATGAGGACCGGATCCTGTTAAGTTCTTAACATTTTGTCAGTGCTGGGGATTGAACTCGGGACTTCAAACTGCTGAACAAGAGTTCTCCACCAATAATTCTGCTGATGGTTACACAGCGGTTGTTTTTTACTATCATTTGTAGTTGACCCTTTTCTGGAAATTCTTTGCCTTTTTCCATGTGATCAATTATGTAGGCAAATAACAGTTTTGTTTCCTCTTTCCAAATCCAAGTTCTCATTTCATGTTCTTATTGTTTTGGCTAAGGCTTTCTGGGTAGTGCTGAGGTGCAGTCAGCAGCCGGGTACTGATGCTTCCTTTAACCAGTGATGATGGTTGAGTCGACACCACCGTGGTCAGTTGGATGTGGGCTAGCACACAGAGACCACAACACATCTGTTATGAGGTCAGCTTGACTTTCTACACCGAGAAGCTTCCAACAGCCTCCCAGAGGCCATGCTGAGTGCAGTGAGTGCTTGAAGTTTGGTCATTGCGTTCCTGAGGCTAAGGTAGTGTTATATCAGAACTCTTTCATGATACATTACAGCGGAAAGGATTTAATATATGGCCCCTTGATCCTGGTTAGTCTTAATTTTTAACCTGCCACGGCCCACAGACACCTGAGAAGAAAGTCTTGATTGAGGAATTGCCTAGATAAGATTGGCCTGTTGCAAGTCAGTGGGGATTATCTTGATTATTAAATGATGTAAGAGGGTCCAACCCACCCTGGGGAGTGCTAACCCTAGGTTGGTAGTCCTGGGCTACATAAGAAAGCTAAACATGAGCCTGTGACCAAGCCAGCAAGCAACATTCCTCCATGATTCCTGCCTCCATGTTCCTGCCTTCAGTTAGTGCCCTGACTTCCCACAATGACAGCTGGTGACCTGGAAGTATAAGTCAAATAAAGCTTTTCCACCCCTAGGTTGCTTTTGGCTGCAATGTTAGATTTAAGTAGCACAAAAGGACTAGGACACCATCTCTAAAGGAAAGGAGCTCATGAGTTTTGTATCCAATCTTGTCACTCAAAAGTTCATATTCATATCTAGGGAGAAAGCAGTATTGGTGTTCAGGTGCTCTAACAAATTGCCCTTTCTAGTTAACTGTGGTGATTTTAATAGGTATGGCCCCAAGAGACTCATATGTTTGAATGCTTGGCTCATAGGAAGTGGCACTATTAGGAGGTGTGGCCCTGTTGGGGGAAGTGTGTGACTGCAGAGGTGGGCTTTGAGGTCTCATAAGCTCAAGCTACACCCAGTGTGGGATATAGTTCACTTCCTGTTGCCTGCAGAACTCTCAGCTACCCCTCCATCACCACGTGTGCCTGCATTCTGCCTTGCTTCCTGCTGTGATAATAATGAACTAAACCTCTGAACTGTAAGCCAGCCCCAATTAAATGTTCTCCTTTATAAGGTTTGCCATGATCATGGTGTCTCTTCACAGCAATAGAAACTCAAATTTAGACAGTGACCATCACTAGGTTAAAGAATTCCCCAGACCAGTCTAGTAATCTCCTAAGAATTTTCATCATGAACATTGTTCAGTGCCTGGTTTGCTCAGACAGTATTAGCTGTGTGCTGGATACTTCCTTGAACACTCTGCAAATATCCATGCATCCCTTCCCATGTCCCATTTTAAAAAGCATCCCTCCCTTCCACTTGATGAGATTTCTGAGTTCAAGGACAATTTTTCAGTTTTAGGGAACCACCAGTTGCTTTTCTTTGCCAATATTCCCTCTCCTGTTTTCTTACTTTCTCTTAAGTTGCCTGCTAGATAAATATGAGGTATTGAGGTCTTTACACAATGTCAGATTTTCCCCACACCATGCTGTATTTTGAAGGGTTTTCTCAGCATATTCTTCAGCAGTCTCTTTCTTTTTGAAAAAGTTATTGTTCTTTTAAAGAAGCTACATTTATTATTATTATTATTATTATTATTATTATTATTATTATTATTATTATTGTGTGTGTGTTTGTGTGCATCTGCACATAACATGGCACAGATGTGAGTCAGAGGGTGACTTGTGGGATTCAGTTCTTGCCTTCTATCATGTGGGTCTTGGGGATCAAATTCAGGTTTTGGTGGAAAGAGCCTTTACCCCCTGAGCCATCTCACTGGCCCACAGGCTCTCATATTATCTGTAGAGATGGCTTTCTTTCTCTCTGCCCCTTGTGAGGACTGTATCTCAGGTTCATTTAGAGTGTTGCAACACAGCTTTCACTTAGCTCATTTTAAAATGGCCAGATTTTATTTGGCAAAGGAGTGCTTTTAGTGTCTCTTCAGTCCATCATTTTGGAACTGTAAGTCTCTGTCCATTAAACTCTATTTTCTACTCCCTAGGGTCCAACAGAAGCAAACACTAAGTTTATGATATCCATGTACACCCAGCATCACTACAAATACAACTTCAACATTTATAAATGTGTTTTCTTTTAATTTTATTTACCTACATGTGTGTGTGTGTGTGTGTGTGTGTGTGTATCTATGTAGGGGTATATGCACGTGAGTGCATGTGTCTGAAGAGTCCAGAAGAGGGAGACAGTTCCTCTGGAGCTGGAGTTGCAGGCTAATATTAGTGCTTGAAATGGAATTCCAGCCCTCTGCAAGAGCAGCAAATGATCTTAACTGCTGAGCTATCTCTCCAGCACAGGTACTTCCATCTTAAATCTAGTTAACTGGACCAGTAAATTTCTTAGTGAATTAGTCAGCATTGTTTTTGGCAGAGTTCCCTTTTTTTTTGTCTCTCCTAGGCATTGAACTCATGAACTTTCCATGCCAGGCAAGTGTTCTATAACTGAGGTTCACTTTTAGTCCAGGAGTGTGTGTGTGTGGGGAGGGGTAAGAGAGAGAGAGATAGGGAGATAGATAGATAGATAGATAAATAGATAGATAGATGGATAGATAGATAGATAGAGAGTCTCACAGTCCAGGCTAGCCCCACAAAGTTGCTAAGTAGTTGAAGATGATCTTGAACTTCTAGTCATCTTGCCTTGACCAAGAGTGCTGGGATTAGCATACCACCACAGACAGTTTTACACAGCGCTGAGGACTTCACACAGGATGTTGTGCATACAGGGCAGGCACTGTACTGACTGAATGACCAGCATCTGGCTTTTTTCTTTAATTTTTGAGACACAGTCTTTCTATGTACCTCTGGTGAGTCTGGAACTCACCATGTAGACCTTGAGTTCACAGACTCTCTGCTTATGCTGGGATTAAAGGTGTGTGCCAGCAGTATTTGGGTTTTGACTGAGATTTTTATTTAAAACATACTTATTTGTTTTTATGTATATGGGTGTCTTGCCTGCTTGTCTGGGCAGCACATGTGTGTAGTGCCCCTGGAAGCCAGAAGAGGGCACTGGATCCTTTGGAATTGGAATTACAAGTAGTTGTCAGCCATCTTGCAGATGCTAAGAATCAAACCTAGGTTCTCTGTAAGAGCCACAGGTGGTGCTGGCCTGCCCCTCCAGTCTAATGTACAAATCTAAGAGCATCCTCACCTGTAGTTGAAAGTGTTCCTGCCCGCGCTCCTGTCTTATAGAGTGGGGAGTGGTAGAGTGTTTGGATTGGCTCGTAGTTTTGTTGTGGTTCAAAATGAACTACAGGCAGCATGGGGTTCATCTGTCCTGGCAGTGCGTCCTCTATGACCATCTCTTGATCATCCCACCGAGAAGCATCCATGAACATCCCATGAACAAGAACTCCATCTTCAGGAGAGGGCAACTGAAAGATATTCATAAGTTTAGGGGTGAGTGGAGGAAAAGGGATTAGAGTTTGAGCCACCGCTTCACCAAGCACCTCTAAAAACAGTGGTTTTTATCTCTAGAGAGGTACCCTAGAGATCTGAGAGGTAGGATACCCTGACCTGTTTGGTACTGAATTTGATGCTGTCCACACCCTACCAGGATGCAGAATTGGGGATGCCTCTGGAAAACCCAGTGATGGCTACTTTAGTCCATCTGACATGATGAGTAATGACTTCTCTTTCCCTCTGGAGAAGCAGAGGGAGATAAGGGCTGGAATTATCATCCATCCTTCGCAGCAAGGCCCCTTGAGGATCCGGGGATCCTTCTAGGAGATAGATTATATATCTCTTTGACCATCTGATGAGTGTGAAACCATTAAGACTGACCCTATAGCACACACCTATTAGCTATTTACTGTGGTTAACGTTAGAACGGATATCAAGACAACAGGAGGGGGCCGAGTGGCTGCTGCAGACAAATTTCGTCTATAATAGTGTGGTGGAGTGTTGTGAATGAACTTTGTGTTGCCTATATGACACGTGCCTCTTCATTCTTGGAGTCCTGTCATCAGTCCCAACTTACTTATTTTTAAAAGACTTTAAGAATTATGTACTTAGTGCTCTGCCTGTATGTCTGCCTGCAGGCCACAAGAGGGCACCAGATCTCATTATGGATGGTTGTGAGCCTTCATGTGGTTGCTGGGAATTGAACTCAGGATCTCTGGAAGAGCAGCAGTGCTCTTAACCACTGAACCATCTCTCCAGCCCCCACCAGCTCCCACCAGCCCCAATTTATAGATGAGAACACCAAAGTTCAGACATGTAAGCAATTGTTTTAGCATGCATGGATGGTGAAGGGTAGAGCCAGGATTCAAACTCAAGTTTGTTTCATTTTGAAACTCTGTTTTCAATGTCTTATTATACTGCCCCTGTAAGATGGAGACTACTGCTGTCTGGATCTAAATAATATAACTTTATGAAGAAAACATTTCTATAAATTGGCCTACATTTGAGAAGTTCCTGTCCAGTTGCTGCTGAGGTGCTAGCCTTTGGGGTTGGGTGCCACCCTCTTCTCCCACTTCCGTAAATGGGGGTGGTGGGCAGGAGAGACCGCCTCAACTCTCCACTGACAGTGGGATAGAAGCTTTGCCATGCAGTCAGGTGGACGATACCTGCAGGTCCATGGGCAGTTCTTCTCCAAACTTAATGTCCTTGGCAGCTTCTATCACTGAGGCTTGATTTCGGTAGACTGGAATCATGTTATACTTGAAACTCAGTTCATCTATAGGCAAATTATATTTTCGAGCATGGTTCTGAAGAGTTCCTGAAAGTAGAAAAAGGTCGGTCTTTTAATGCTCCTCCACACATACTAAAGCACTGGTGTTCCCGTTCACCCTGCTGTGATAGCATCAGAGAACTTCCTCTCCATAGAAACCCTTATTGGGCCTGGGGGGGGGGGTGACTCAGCAGGTGTAGGTACTTGCTGCAAGCCTGATTAGTTTGATCCCTAGAACCTACACAGTGGAAGGAGAGAACCAACTCCAGCAAGGTGTCCCCTGACCTCCACATCTGTCTTGTGACATACATACCTCCCCTCCCTCCTTCCCTCCCTCCAAACAAATAAATATAAGGAAAAATAATTTAAAAAGAAACTGAAACTGTTAACAAATGTCTACATGGAATTAGTTCATAGAGTATAGTGTTTGGGTGGAAGCATCACCCCAGCCTCTGGCATCCATATACCCAAAGAGTCGGGAATGTTTGGGTGGAAGTTCCATCCCAAGGTCTTTCCCCCCGAGAGTTGCCTTAGTCCAGACTCTACCTCCGAGAAAGCCCGCCAAATGATGACCCCTCCCCAGAGATGCTCAAGGCCACTCCCACAGGGTATTTAAATTGTATCCCAGAGAACAAACACATGGTTTTCTCATCTTCCTTCCCTTTCTCCTCTCTTGGGGGCTGGAAGGCCACCCAGGAGCATTGGTATCAATTAAACCTGGGCTTTTTCTGATTTGGTTTGATTTGGTCTGATTTGGATTATTGCATTGGCGGAGAAGCAGGCAGATTTCTGTAAATTCAAGGCTAGCCTAGTTCTCCATAATGAGCTCCAGCCTAGCCAGGACTACATAATGAGACTCTGTCCCAACTAACTAACTAACTAACTAACTAACTAACTAACTAACCAACCAACTAACCAACCAACTAACCAATGAACTCCCCCCCCCCAGAAAACAAAAAACAAAAATCCAAGCAAAAAACCCCAACAAACCCCAAACAAACAAATGAGTAAACAAACCATAAACAAAGGGCAGGAGAGCTAAGCTTCAAGGCTATTGCCCTGCCATGAGAGACAAACTCACGAGAAAGTTTTAGGATAAGTCTGCTTAAATTCAGAATTTTGACCAGCTTGCTTATATGTGCTGTTTATCAGGGAATAGAAATGAGACAAACTGAGGATTGGGTGTCCAGAAGCCCACGGTCTGGGTCCCTCTGGGACTTTCCAGCCATGCTTGGGATGTTGCTCAGTGGGAAGTGTGCTTGCCTAGATGCACAAAGCTCTGGGCTCAATCCCCAGCATTGTGTGGAGGCAGTGGGATTAGGAACAAGGTCATCCTTGACTGTACGATGAAGTCAAGGCGATGTGGGCTACAGGAGACCCTGACTCAAAATAGAAAGTGTCTCTGAGAGAGAGGAAGCTGCCCGGAGCGGGGGCATGTACGGGGACCAGCGTCTGAAAGCTCGGAAGGAGGTTAGGGGATAGGAGGGTTCTGTCACAAGGAATGTTGAACTGAGAGCTTTCTATTCATGGATTTAGCCTAAATCAAACCCAAGCATAGATCACCAGCGAGGGGCAAGGATTAGTTTACCAGGGAGCATCTCTTCCCTACCCCCACGCCCAGGGATGGAGGAAGAGTAATTCTAGATTGTCCTAGATCAGCAGGGTCAGCAGGGCCAGTCAGGCCTTGGCAGCCACGACCTTTTCCATGAGGCTTTCCTAGAGGAGGCACCAGTACCTGTGAGGAATCCTTGAGGAAAGAAGAACCCGGAAATCCAGAAGGATTTGGGCCGTCCTCTTTTGAGCCACAGCTGAGGGAAAGACATGATTTCATGAGGCACTTCATTTCTGAGGTGAACGCACCATCTAAATGAGAGCTGTGTTTGGGGGGGGGTGACGTCTAATCGATGTGGCATCTAACCCCGCCCCTCATATTACTGCTGGTCCATTCCCCTTCAGCCTGAAACCACGAGGGACAAGAGGCTAGGGCAGCCAAGGTACATCTGGCTATGTGGAGCCATGTCATGTTTGCACCTTACTATGAGGCCATACACTGCAGCTAAAGCTTCAGGAATGGCCCGAAGTTGAAAACCAATATATAGATAAGAGCTTAGGGAAAATGGCATTATAATCTACTTAAGACTTTCAACGTGAAGCCATACTGGAAGGTTCTGTTTCTCCAGAATCAAATGATTCCTAACAGTTGCTACTCAGTGCACCCTCAGAAATTTAGGGCCAGACAAGCTGTCAATCCATCAAAACCCACACAAGTGAAATCTCTCGTACATCGATGAATGCAGTCCTCAGAATAAGGTCTTTGACCCACGATCCCAGCGGCTTCAGCGATGGGTAGGCTGTGTTAGACCAAAGAGAGGGAACCTGGTTGTTGAGGAAACTCTGATACACTTTTTCCATTTCTTCGGACATCACCACAAGTCCAGCAATGGCTTTGTTGAGTGTTTCTAGAGAAATCTGGGAGAAGAAAAAAGATTATTACAGGCATAATTACTGGGTGAGGGGACAATGGCTTTCACAGTTCTTATGTGTGTAACTGAGCATGTGTGTGTACATGCATGCGGCAAAGACAACCTTGGTATTACTCCTCATGTGTTGTCTTTATTATTTTTTAAGTAAATCTATGTGTTCTATTATTTTATATGCTTAAGTGTTGTGTGCCTGTGTATATGCATGTGTGCCTGTGTATATGCATGCGTACCACATATGTGCCTGTGGAAGCTAGAAGAGGGAAACTGATCCCCTGGGACTGATCTTATAGGTGGCTGTGAGCTGCCATGTGGGTGCCAGGAATTGAACCCAGGTCCTCTGTTAGAGCAAGCAGCCAGTGCTCTTGACCGCCGAGCCATCTCTCCAGCCCCGACAGTAATTCTAAAACTTTAAGGCAGGTCAGTGAGGAGCTTGGGGGTTTGTAATGTCACATGTTCACACAGCCACTGCTAGGACAAGGAAATACTGACTCAACCATACACAGCCTGGGTCTGAGGATAGCACAGCCAAACAGAAGCTTAGAAACGCTAGGACAGAGGCTTTTAAGCACATTCGTGTTTTTCTAGCGTTTTCCATAAGGCTCGGCTACCCAGAGGCAAAGATGGAGGGAAGCATTCATACATGTATCAACTTCAGCAGGTTGTTGAACCGGTCCACTTCCTGGCCAAGGACGGTGGTCAGAGAGTCCAGGCGGCCTTGAGCGTCCTTGACAAAAAGGCTCTCGGAAGCTCCCTCCATTTGCAGGACTTCTGAAACACACACAGTTGACTTCTCAGACCAAACATCCTTGATTTCCATCCTCACAACACTGCAACCATCATGGGATTCTCCTTTAAAATATGGTGTGTATTACTGCTGTGTTTTCACAGGACATGTGAGTGCAGGTATATGCATGCCATGGCGTGCCTGTGGGGGTCAAAGGGCAACTCTGAGGAGTTTGTTCTCCTTCCACCTTTGTGTGCACACAGGCCCTCAGGCTTGCCAGATGGGCACTTTACCCACGGAGCCTTCTCACTGGGCCTGGCTTCTTGTTATGTATTTTTCTAAAGCTATTTTCTCTCATTATTTAAGCAAGAGCTTAAATTTGACACCATTTTTAAAACTTACAAGTCTCTGATGATCCACCTGTGTTTACATACAATCAGTCACAAAACAATAAGGCTTAAACGAATGGAAACCAGAGAGAGAGAGAGAGAGAGAGAGAGAGAGAGAGAGAGAGAGAGAGAGAGAGAGACAGTATTTCACTCCCTGTCATGGCGGTGCTCGTCTTCTGTGCCGGTTTGAACTTTGGCTTGGCCACAGGGAGGTAGAGCACAAGAGACCCTGACTGGGGTAGTGTGGAAGGAAGGCATGAATGTACCCAAGTGAAGGGCAGCCGGCTCCCTTTCTGGTAACCATGGGGGAGGATCTGAGCCTAAGCGAGTGGAACAGAAGTCAGTGCGGCTTGGAGCCTGCAGGTCTGAGTGAGGGGATCCTGTGAGTCACTCTCCACAGGGGGTGTGGAGTGACAGGGAGGCTTAAGAAAATACATCTGGGCAGATGGGTCAGTGGGTAATGGTGCCTGCTGCTAAACCTCCTAATGCGAGTTCAGTCCCTGAGTCAGACCCAGTTAAAGGGAGAGAACCGACTCCCACAAGTCATCCTGACTTCACACAAGACACATTTCGCTTTGGCAGAACTAGAAAAGCAGAACTCCGAATACCTTGGTGGCAAATGCTACCCACCATAGTGATGGCTCATTTGACAAGCGACAATCCAGAGGCCAGAGGGCTGGGGACCCGCTCCCTCCACCCCTCCTACCCCCGGCACCGCCCTTTGAATATAAGTGCGTAAATCTTGTTCTTCCCGGTATATCCGCGCTACCTCCGGGAAAGGAGGGGGTGGGACTGGGAGACAGAGGCGGAGAGAGACTTGAATGTATCCCAAGTTACTGAGCATCACTCAAAGACTGGAGTCAAACTGGAGGGGGAATGATATGTCCTTCCAACCCCAGTCCTACAAAACGGAGGTCCAAATGAGCCACATGGGCTAGGATGAAGAAAGGAATTGCATTTTCCTTGAATGTCTGCGGCGTGAGTGAGCAGATAAGGGGTTCTAAGATACGCTGCACACAGACCAGATTCTTTCCTGAGCCTTCACAATCGGGCTGCTGGAGGACCATCTCTCTGCTGTCTCTCCGGACCATAGAGCTGTGGTTACAAGAGCCTTACTGTCTCCCCTGCACCCCAGGGGCATTCCAAGCCCCTAAGTTCTGCGGAGTGGTCGGACCTTTTGCTCTCAACCATGGCAGATGGCCTGCTTCTCATTTCACAAGGAAAGCATAAACTCCATGAAGCGTGCTTCCCACTTCAGAGTGTACGTGTGAGCTTTACCATGGGTAGAAAATCTCTGCGTCACTGGGCATCTGGAGAAAGCTCACGGTCTCCACTGCCCTCATCTTGGCATCACTGCTGCTCCCCCTCCCCACTGTGTTTATTTAGAAGAAGCTGCTCCCTAAACTAACTGGCAGTTTTCTTCAACATTAACAGAACTCCCTGCCCAAGTTTTGGGGGCCTGCCCCTTGTGGGTTGGGGAAGATCAGGATTCTCCTTGGGTCACACGAATCCTTTTCAGCCGGAAGCCTTTAGAGTACTGCCAGGACTCTGTCAGGGGCTCTTCTTCTCTAACTCAGTTTTCTCTCCCTTGGTATGACATCACTTCTGCTCATGAACAATTGATCTGGGGACGTAACTATATTGTCAGTCTCAGGGAAGTGGGAGAGTAGCTCTCTCGTGATCCTTCAGGAAGATTCCATAAATTACCAGCAAATAAGGTTAAAGTAGCCACTTCTCCTTAGTAAGGAAAATACTGAGGTGGATTTGAGGACAGGGCTCTAACAAAGCTTTATATGATGATGGAAATGGCCCCATCTGTGCTGACCAAGACACAAGCATTTAAAATGCTTAGTGCAACGAAGGACTCGATGTCAAAATTTAACAATCTGCCATGCATTGCCAGCAGCTACTGTCTCGGATGCCACAAGTCCAGAGACGTTAGAATCAGCTCGGAGCAAAGCCTGGCTGAAGTCGTGTGGGTGGTAAGCCAGGTGGCTCCTCTCGATCCTGGCAGGTGGGCCGCTGGGGTGCAGTAGGTTTCCAGACAGGACTGGGGAACTCCACGTGAGGCGAGCTCTCCAGGGAGAGAGAGTCTATGAAGGAAATTAAGCCTCCACATCTGCTTACCATTTAGTTCTCTGGGTTTGTTCCTAAAGCCCCCATCACGGGTGGGTGCCAGGAAATATTTCTCACCTGGAACTCTGGTCCGGATTGAAGCAACAAGCTCCTGGACGATCTCATCATTGCTCTTCCCCTCGCCACCCGAGAAGGATCTTGGCTGAACCTCAAGGATGGTGTTGATGAGGGTGTTGGTCTCCTTGTACTGCAGGGGCGGTAAGACAACAGGGAAGATGGCGTCAGGTAGTTTGTCATGTGTGTCGTTTACATATAGGAAAGAGGCAAGTGTTCAAACACATAGGTATTAATTCAACTGAGGTTAGAATACAAGAACCACTCTCTTAATCAAGTTAATTTTTTTTACGTTAAGAAAAGTGTGCATGCATATGCACATGTATGCCCTGACATGAAAGTGGTGGTCAGAGGACAACTTGTAGGAGTCGGTTCTCTCTCGCCACCATGTGGGTGTTAGGGATTGAACTCGTGCCATTAGGCTTGGGCAGCTGTCTTCAGTCTGCCAACTCTATCTTCATCAAATGTTGAGTGCATAGTACCATTGATTACACACATGATGCTGTTTGTCAGCCCTCTAGACTTATTCATCTTTCCGAACTAAGACCTTATGTCCATTGATTAGAAAAAAAGGGGAAAAGCTGTTTGGCCATCAGCAATCACCTCATTGGCTTTGCCCAGCATAGACACATTTTGGCCATCTTGATCTGTAACTCTAGCCTGGGCTCTCCAAACCCAGCAAAGCATTACAGCTCCTTCTTTCTGGCTTCTGTGGCAGGATGGCACATGGTTTCCTAAGGATCTCTGGATGCATGGACGTGGGAATCTCTGAACTTGGACCGGAAGCTCAGCGAGTCTCCACATTAGCTGGCTTGGCTCAACTGTGTCTTTCATTACCTGCCCCCCCCCCCACTCCCTGCACAGGGTAAGAAGACCTTTCTGGTAGGGCGACAGACCCAGCAGCTGTGTGGACACAAGCATGCATCTTCCACTTCTGGTCCACGCTGGTCCTTTAAGAGCAGACCATTCTAACAGCAGCAAGTGTCTCTAAGGAGTACTTGCTAGGCATGAGTCAACAGCCAACAGCACTCCTTGTCTGGCAGAATCTGATGCGTGGGGGCAGCCTTTCCATCCAGTCGGTTGTTATCCGGCTTTTCTTCATGGGAATAGTAAGTCCGTTCTCAGAACAGCTCCCTTCTCCCTCATGCTCATCCTGTTCAGTCAGGGTCAGAAAGTGACATCCTGGCAGTGCACTGGGGTAACAAAGCCCAGTTCAGACAGCAGAGGGGGCTGCTGACACACACTCGGATCTCAGATCTGCCCCTCCTGCCCTGTCTGTCCTTTACTAGTTTCTACTAAACATGTATTTAAATAAAACTTGCGAAGTGTAGGAAGAATGTAGAGTTTTTGTGTTCAGACCACATTCCTCAAAAGGGACAGAGTTATCCAGCCTAAGCAAAATACTATTTCACGATGATCCACTTTGATACAACCATTTGTACCTCTAGCTAAAGGCAACTTGCAGACAGATGGAGACTGATCTCAAATCTTCCCCTTCCTTCCTGAAAGCAGGAGGTAAAAGCTCTCCTATGAACAAAGGCTCTCTGGTGTCTGGAGAAAGGAAGGCTCTTTGCAGGGATCTGGTAAAAGAGAAACCATAGCAAAACCCAATAGTCTTGCTGTGGGAGGTGGTGCATCATGCTTGTAATCCCAGACTTGGCAGGCAGAAGCAGGTGGATCTCTGTGAATTTGAGGCCAGGCTTGTCTACAGAAAGAGTTCCAGGGCAGCCAAGGCTATATAGAGAGACTATATCTAAAAAACTAAACCAAAAACCAAACCAAAAATCTTCAATAGTCTTCCCCAGGGAAAATTACACTTCTACCAAATGCTCGGCTTTGAAAGCACATACCTGTTACATTATACATACTGAACAGTTGCATTTATGTATTTAGGAGTGCACACACAACATACACACCACCACCACCAACAACAACAATAACAACAACTAAAGAAAAGAGGTCATGGATTTGAAAGAGATCAAGGTGATGGCACATAAGAGGGTTTAAAGGTAGGAAAAAGAAGAAAAAGAAGAGAGAAACAACATTATTCTAATTTCAAAGAACAACAAAGGTAAGAATGGTACAAAACTTTTATCTTGCTCTGACCTCCCTGCTTCTTGGAGTCACGCACCCACTGCTGCCTCCCTGTGTTAACACAACACCAAGCGGCATAGCTTTGTGCACGTCTGAGCTCCATTTCTTATTGGTGTCACTGTGCTTGTATTAAATCAGTAAATGCTTTTAATCCCAGCATTTGGGAGGCAGAGAGAGGCAGGTGGATCTCTGTGAGTTCTAAGACAGCCTGGTCTACAAAGTGAGTTCCGGGACAGTCAGGACCATTACACAGAGAAATTCTGTCTCCAGCAACAACAACAACAACAACAGCCTGCAAACTCTTCCTCTGCGAAGCTGTACCAATAAAGCCAGTTCTATTCTGTGGCTCAGTCTGGATCTGGAGAGTGTGGACATCTACTCGGGCAGACACCGGTGTAATCTCATCCCTTCTGCACATGCCTGGCTGTTTTCCTCTCTGCTGCTCTTACTTTTTCCTATAGCATATAAGCTTCCCCATATGATGGTTGGGGAGCGGGTGGGATTATCAGGGGAAAGACAGACAGCTGCAGATATGACATCCCAGGCACTGACTCCAGGGACCCAGCATTTGTGTACTCCGCGCTGGACATCTGTGCACTTCTTGGACCAATTACAATGGCCGAGGGAGGAGGGGTGGCCTTTGGTTAAGCTTGGGTCATGTGCCCACCTCTGTACATTGTATTATAGGTATGGGTGGTTTGCTTCTGTGTTTGTGCACCATGTTCATGCCCCAGAGTGCATGAATCTCCTAGAGTTAGAGTTAGAGATGGTTATGAGCTGCCATGTGGGTGCTGGGAATCGAACCCAAGTCCCCTGGAAGAGCAGTCAGTGCTCTTAACTGCTGAGCCATCTTTCCAGCTTTTGTCTTATCTGAATCCTAAGGAAGAAGAAGGGACAACTGTTCAAAAGACAGTGGCTGCAATGCTAATCCAGAACTGTGGAAGAAGGAAAGTTTCGGAGGATAACAGGTCAGGGTCTCAAGACACATTCTGAGACCAATGGAAAGCACAGACTCGGCCTGGTTTACAATGCCTACAATGACGGGCATGTGCGTGTGTGTGGGGAGGGGTTGGAGTGGGATGGCTTTATCCCTCCTGAAGCTGTCCTCAAGAGGAGGCTAGGCCAGCCCTCCCATGCTTTCTTCCTTTTGTCCACTTCCCCTATTTTCCCTCCTCCCTCCACCATTTAGAAGAAGCAGTCAGAGGTCAGAGTGGAGTAGATAGAAGGCTTAGCCACAAGTACACTCTCCTGAAAGCAGATCAGCAGAAATCATGACATATTATCTTAATGTCCTGTGAATGCAGCAGCGTCATTGTTGGCAAACATGAAATCAGGGGTCAGAACACTGACCTCTTGTGGTGTGCTTTCTGGGGAGTCCGATATTGTTAGATTCCTTGATACTGTGGTAGACCTCACCTTCTTTCTTTTGGTTTTTCAAGACAGGGTTTCTCTGTGTAACAGTCCTGGTTGTCCTGTAACTTGCTTTGTAGACCATGCTGGCCTCGAACTCACAGAGATCCACCTGCCTCTGCCTCCTGAGTGCTGGGACTAAAGGCGTGCACCACCACTGGCTGGTGGCTTCACCTTCTAACATGTATGCAGGCAAAATTTAACTTGAAAAGAAAGATGATCTCCCCACCCCGGGCCTCTTCTACTGATCTAATCCTTGACCGTTAGAGATGTCTGGAGTCCTCAGAGACAGCGCTATTCTTTATGGATGCCTGAGATGCTAAGATGAAGCTGGGCCATGCGAGCTTCTCATGTGTGGTGAACCCAATCAAAAAATATTTTTGTTTTTACTTCATTGCTGTAATTTTGCTACTGTTATGAATCATAATGTAAATACCTGTTTTTTCCAATGGTCTTAGGTGACCCCTGTGAAACGGTCATTCGACCCCCAAAGGGGTCGTGACCTAGGTTAAAATCACTGCTTTGGAGCTAGTGCTGTGGTCTGGTACCTCGACTACTTTGAGAGAGCAAGGTTAATTATCTTCCTCACAGAATCTGAACCTAGGCACTGAGAAGAGACACTTGGGGCATTCGGAACTGTACTGTTCTGCTCTAACCATAACCTTCGTGTAACAGGAGCCAAATGTGTTCAGTGTGGTGGGAGAAGGGAACACACACGCATGTGAATACACACACACTCACACACACACACGTGCATCTTAGGATCCTGTGAAGTCTGTGTCTAGTTAGATTCATTTTTCTTGAGGCCTTGGGCATCAGAGATTAACATTTTCATCTTTTCAGAGTACGGAGGCAGAAGGATTCTGGCCACTGAGGGAAGCGAGTCTCATGAAAGACCTCGAAGGCAGCAGAGTGAAACCGCTGCTGAAAGAGAGACTAACCAGTCTTTTACTGTTTCCTGAAGGCACTGTAGCTCACAGAGCTGTGAGGGCAGGAGCAATGTCTCGAGTTTATATGCAAATATAAATATGTATATTAAGCAGAAAGACAACATACCTGAAAAACAAGGTTGGCATTTTCATGCATTCCAAAAATTTCTGGATCATCTATCAAAGGTAGATCTTCAATATAATCCTTAAACTCTTGCAGACTGTCAGCCAAGGGGGAGAAATAGATGCCTGTCAATAAAAAGCGGAAGACAAATGTGAATAAAATGATCAGCACTGCCTGGCCTGGTTCCTATTTTAATTACACAATTTTTCTCTGTGTATGTATTTTCCCACGGCTATGTACATGTGAGTGCATGTGCCCATGGAGGCCAGAAAGAGGGTGCTGGGCTCCCTGAAACTGGAGTTACAGGTGATTGTGAGCTGCCCAGCATGGGTGCTGGACACAGAGCACACGTCCTCTCCGAGAACAATTCCTACTCGTCACCACCAGCCGCTGTTCTGGCCCCAAGTCACATGAGCAGCAGAGCTCTATTAGCATCATGATCTTTTCAGAGTAGGGAGCCCAGCAGGGTTCTGGATGCTGTTGGAAGTGAGCCTCATTAAGGGATCCAAATTTGTGCTCATGTTAGAAAATGTCCTTGTGTTGATTTGGTAAATAGATTATAATTCATCAAATCAAAGGCTACATTTGCGAAATGTTGAAATGTGACATCACTGCCCTTTCCCCAGTGATAGAAGGCGTACAGCTGACTGGAAGCAGCGTCCAGCGACTTAACAGCAGGAGCTGTGGTGAGCTGGCAGTGTTGTAATCAGATTTCCTCCTCGGAGGAACTGACACTCAAGCCATCAATCTGTCTACTGTCTGACTCCAAAAGAGTTACCTTCAATTCATACTTCTTCGTTACTCAATATTTGGTCATGGAAGTGTTCTCCAATTATATTAAAAATACATAATTCCATATCTCCAAAAACGCATTTAGATATATTACAATCAAATTTAATGCCAAACAAATTCACAGTGGTTGCTATATAACATACAGTACTGTGTTCTCGCTGCCAAGCCAGCTTTGACAGTGTTAAACATGAGGATGGGATAAAGCTGTCACTACGGACAGGGCACATTGCTGTCCGAGACTTCTGGGGAAGGGACTTTTGGCATAGAAGTCATTTACCTGATTCTGAGTATTTATAGTCATCACTCAGTGTCTCGGGAGAGAAAAATCTTTTCAAGACAGTTCGAAGACATCTCTGGTCCCAGGTGTCGGTCACTCGCCCACCGTAGGTAATTTCACCTGAAAGGGAGCTTGCATTTTAAAATATATTCCTATTTTTTTACATTAACAAATTTGAATAGATTTATTTTTATGCACATTTAGTTGGTACTGAAAGTGGTTGCTATGTCCCTCTAACAAGTCAACTTTTAAAAAGCAGGAAAAATGTAACATGTGTATGCTCTCCTCATTATTTTATTTTTTTAAATTATGTGTGTATGTATGTGATCCTGCACGAGTTTAGACACACTGTGTGCGTGCAGGAACCCACAGGGGCCAGAAGAGGACATCAGATCACTTGGAACTGGTCTTAGAGGCTGTAGTGAGCTCCCTTGTCAGTGCTGGGAACTGAACCCGGGTCCTCTGCAAGAACAGTGAATGCTCTTAACCACTGAACCACCTCTTCAGTTCCACAGTTTTATTCTTTCAAATAACAGAAACTAAAGTTATTGGACTCTTCTGAAGGATCTCTTCCCTTTCCTTTGTTTCAGAAGGTTCTTGAGTGTTGACCCCCCCTCCAAGTGACTGTCAGATTCTAAAATGTACTCACTTTCCATGAAACATTGCTTTTGTTTGAGCTCACTGAGAAAACGGAACCTCACAATTGCTGAAAGACAGTAGATCTGTATCTACCTCATAAATTATTGCTATCAAGCCAGAGCGAAAGAGAGAGTTTGTCTATCAGAGATGAGGTCAGGGGGATTCAAATTTATGGGTGCACTGTTTCTTTCTCCAGAGATGTAACACTCAGCCTGGTTCAGTGTCGCTCCAAAAACACGCGTGGGAAGGGACCACATGGGATGATTTTTAATGTTAATATAATGCCTTGGGAAAGTTCTAGATCCACTATAGTGTTCCCAGAAGGATTTCACAGACTATACGACATTGCCCAGGCTGACTTAAGACTTTAGCATACAGACTCATTTTAGCTATATAAAGTAGTGCCTGGGGCTAACAAGATGGCTGTCAGTAAAGTGCCTGTTGCCCCGGCATGAGAACCTGAGTCTCCATCCCCTGCATCTGCAGGAGAGCCTGGCCTCGTGGCTTGTGTCTGTACTCCCGGCACTGGGACTGAGGGCAGAGACAGGCAGGTTCCTCCAGCTCATTGGTCAGTCAGCCTAGCCAAACAGTGAGCTCCAGGTTCAGCGAGAGGCTCTGCCTCAGAAAGTAAACTGGAAACCTACCAGTGGTCACAGTCCCAAAGAAAAATGGCTCTCTCTTTGCCTAAGCAGAGTGGGAGAGGGGATAAGAAAGGTAGCTGTGATTAATACATATTGGATATGTATATGAAATCTTCAAAGAATAAAAAAACGGTTTAGGAGCACACAATGTCTACCTCTAGATTTTACATGTGCACACATGTACAGACACATATCACTGAGACACACACACAGACACACACGATGTCTGGTATTATTGCTACTGGGGAGAAATGTCTCCCCAATTTTCTATGTGCAAATATTCTCATGACATGCTTGTCACTGTTGTAAGTTCACAAAGGGGCCATGAGTTGTCACTGCCAACATTAAACACTGGGGGAGAATGCAGTCTTCACAGGGGCCGGGCAGGTGTAAATCAATAGCTCTGCTTTATAGCCAGGTGCCCAGGTCCCGTGCACACACTGACCAGTAATGTAAATTAGAGCATCCCAGGGGATCTTCCCTTCGTGGCAGTAAAGGTTGAGGTTCAGCAAGGCACATTCTCTATCACTGTCATTAAATTCATAGCAGATATTCCAGCCAAGGGGGCCAAACTTCTTTCTCTCCTACGACGGAAGAGGAGAACATTCTGAGACACAACTGGCGAGGTTAATTTTGTATAATGATGACGAAGTTAGTTTTCAGTACTGAAAGATGAAAGTTTTCACCCACGGTGGGCAGCCAATACTGCAATCAGTTAGAAACATTTGGTTCAGCTTCAGCTGGGCTTTTACCAAAACAGGCCAAAAACATCTTCATTCAATTCTCCCCATGTTTTTAAAAGAAAATCTGTTATGGGAGCGTAGGCAGATCTATCAGAAGAAACTAAGAAACTTTGCTCTGCAGAGTAAAACAAAACATTTCAAACTAGGAAAAATCCCCAGCCCACCTAGAGTTTGGCACAGAAACACACTGTAACTCTGAGAGAGAAAGGGAAATGGAAGGGGAAGGAGGGAGAGCGAGAGTCCTTGTCCTAGGTTTATTTCCATCGCTGTGGTAAGATATGCAGACAAAAAGCAGCTTAGGGGAGAAAGGGCTTATTTTTCACTTTCAGCTCCAGATTACAGTCTATTACTATGGGGGAGCCATGTTAGCAGGAACTTGAAGCAACTGGTCTCATCCTAGACACAGGCAAGGGCGGAGAGGATGCTCAGCTTGCTTTACTCTCACACAACTTAAGACCCAAGAAAGTTTGTCTGTCAGAGATGAGGTCAGGGGGATTCAAATTTATGGTTGCACTGTTTCTCACCCAAGCCCCGGGAATGGTGCCTCCTGCAGCAGACTGGGTCTTCCCACACCAGTTAATAATCCAAACAATCTCCCACAGATGCCCCTCCAGGCCAAGTTGATCCTGACAACCCTCCATGGACTCCAGGCTGTGTCAAGTGGCAGCTAGAACTAACCATCACATCGCCATCTCCTACTATCTGTAGCCATGCCATGCTGGCACCTGATGACTTCTCCATGGTGACATCAATAACTGCAGACAGCTAAAGTTCGTTTACATAATCACAATTTTTGCGTCATCACTTGCCATAGTTAAATCCCCTCCCCCTTTAATATTTTACCATCCTCCCCATTTATTAATTTTAAATTGATGGTTGGGTCAGAAGTTGGTTAGATATTCTCTCCTGTAGCTCAAATTTCTACTAAATGTTACACAGCTCCATCTATGAAGTTTCTGATCTCTTTAGATCATTTTGTTCATTTATTCCGTATCTTGCATCTTTACCCATTACTTTTCCTCCAGAGACTCTTTCTTGGTAGAGCACATACAGTTGAAAACCAGAAAGCTAACAATAACATCCAGAAATAAGTCAAAAGTCAGAGATCAAGCACAGGGTCACAGGGTATATAACGGACCGAGTGATGCATCTTGAACAGATGGAAGGAAACTGGTGCTGCTTTGAGAGGTGTCTTTCAGAAGCTTTAGGGCTCTAGTCAGAGGTAAGGAGGAGTCTCTTGAAGGTGGTGAGCTCATCCCGAGGGTCAGGGATGGGTGAGCTACCACAAGGGAGACACATGAACCAAACTGAGTATGGTGCATGTGCCTGCCGTCTCAGAGTCTGGGAGGCTAAGACAGGCGGGCTGCAGAGTCGAGGGAGTCTGGGTTGTGTAGTGAGATTGTGCAGAAGGAAAGATTATATCTGAAAACAACAACCGACACAAAACAAGGGGACCTTGAAGACTGGCAAAGTAAATGGGGGCGAGTAAAGGCTAAAAATCTTCTTGAGTTTTTACTGTATGTCATTGAGTGAAAGGGACCACCGATTTGGGGACTAGATCCTGGAGGGGAAGTAGATTTGGAGTGAGACAGAGTAGACCTGTTGAACTGGACCTTATGCATTCACCTGGGCGAAGGTATTCTTCAGGTAGACCAAGATAGGGGCAAGAGCTGGGGCTGTGAGGTGCTGAGGCAAAGAAGGCAGCGACATTGTTGGCTGTGTTAAGTAAGCTTGATTTCCAACACAGAATGGGGCCTTAGCATTTCAAAAGCCATTTTCAAGTTTTCACTTATGTCTTAACTATTTATATATTTCTAACAGGGAACATTTCTTTATTGCTGTTAAAAAGCAGAATTGGAGTCTAGAGAGAGATGCCCAGGGGTTTGAGTGCTTGCTGCCCTTCCAGAGGACCCAAGTTTGGGTTCCAGCATGTCAGGTGGCTCATGACTATCTTTAACTCAAGAATCAGAGGGTCCAACACTCCCTTTTGGTTGGCCAAAGTACCCAGACATATGTGGTTTTCTCTCTCTCTCTCTCTCTCTCTCTCTCTCTCTCTCTCTCTCTCTCTCTCCCACACACACACACACACACACACACACACACAAACTTAGACATATACACAAATAAATAGAAATTAAATCTTTTTAAAAACCATGATGGAATATACCTGAATAATTGCATGGAAGAAACAAATGCCAAATATTAGTTGTCTCCATTTTTTTCCAAGTATATTTTCTTCAAAAAAGGAAGGTGTCATCTCAGTAAAGGCTCTTCTGATATTTGCACGTAAGCCCTTTGGAGGCTCATTGGTTACCTGGATTTAGAGATCAAACATGCGCAGAGAGGGTTGCATTATATACTGGAGCCATGGAGATAAGGGTAACTAATGTCCATGGGGCATTTTTTGAAAGGTCAGGCCTGCTTTGTGTCGTGTGTGTGAGTGCGTGTGTGTGTGTGTATGTATGTGCACACCCATGTGTGCTCAGGGGCTAGAGGAAGATATCTGGTGTTATACTCTATCACTATCTTATTTATTTGAGATAGAGTCTCTCACTGACCCCAGAGATAGGCTAGAGATGGGCAAGTCCCAGTTATGTTCTCAACTCTCCCTCCATGCACCTGTTATAGGTATGTATGTTATGCCTGGCTTTTTATGTGAGTGCTGGGGGTTTGAACTCAGGTCCTTATGCTTGTGCAGCAAGTTTTGTTACTCACTAAACCATCTCCCCAACACCACTGCTTTTTGTCTTGTCCATGGAGAACAGAGTCTAGTGGGGTCCTCAGAACCACCACAGTTGAACCACCATCAGAAGAACATCAGATATTTCCATTTGGGGTCTTTCCCTCACCCATTAAACATAAGACAGAGAGCCTAATTAGTTTCCATTGGATCCTGTGGTCATATAAAAATACAGAACTATCCTGCATACTTTGTCCCACTAAGTACCATGACATGAGGGAAGGGAGGCAAGAAGCATCTCTTGTTTTTCATATCAAAGATTTCCTCATATTGGAAATTTGTTGTACTGAAACCTAGTAACTGGAGGCCTTCTTGTGTGTCAAACGTGGAAAGAGTCCTTCAGCTCTGAGAGGGGCATCATTCTCATGACTCTATGTATGTGAGGGAGGGGAGAGTCAGAAGACTTGGATGGCTTGTAGACCAGGACATGTAAAAATTCTCTGTCTTGGAAAACCACTTCCCTGCCTGCTCTTAAAGTCCTTTACACGGATCTCTGCAAGCTCTATAACACCTGGACCAAATCTCTCACATTCTTGCTGTGAAATAATCTTCTTGTACACTGTAAAGATTTGTCACTCTAAACATTGGTTTAGTAAAACGCTGATTGGCTAGTAGCCAGGTAGAAATTATAGGTGGGGAAACTAAACTAAGGAGAATTCTGGGAAGAGGAAGGGCGGGGTCAGAAAGTCACCAGTAAATGAAGAGAAGATGACAATGCTATACTAAGAAAAGGTAACAAGCCACGTGGCAAAGTATAGATAGAAATATGGGATAATTTAAGTGCAAGAGTTAGCTAGTAATATGCCTGAGCTATCAGTCAAGCATTTATAAGCAATATTCAGCTTCTGCGTTGGTTGTTTGGGACCAGGCAGTCAGAACAGGAAATGTCCATTTCCGCATTCTAGCTGCATACATGCCATACCTTGACAGAGTTCTGAAGGACTGTCACAGGAAATGTTGGACTAGGCATGGAGCTTAGAAAAAGTCGGAATGTCTCCTTGATGGCCTGATCTGTTAAGACAAAGACAAAACAGCAGGAAGGAAAACGTATAGCTTGTAGGAGTTCTTTTCTGTGGAAACAGTTATTCTATAGAGGAAAGACAAGGCTGCGAAAGACTGTACATATCAAGTATCATAACTGTATGAGGATCAAAGCAGTGGTTGATCTTGAGACTTCCTGTCAGGGGGCTTGCAGTCTAGATGCCGGCATGCTTTGATAAAGAAATTAGATATATCAATAAAAATTTACCTTAATTTATTTAGTATATAGTTTTATTGGTTCTTTGAGAACTTTTGATCTTTCCATTTTCTCTCTGAACTTCTCCCATGTCCCTTTCACACAACTCTGAGTCTTTTTTTTTTTTTTTTTACACCTATCAAGTCCTGTTTGTGCTGCCCAAATAATCTTAGATGTGTGACCTTCCAGTGAAGCATGGTGTCCTTACCAGGGGCCACACTCAGCAAAAATCAACTCCCCCTCTCCCAGCAGCTATCAATTGCCAATATAGCTCCTCGGCTGGGGGCAGGACTTCACGACCATTCCCTGTCAGTCTTCTAAGGCTTCTTGAAGAGCTGGCAAGGAGCTGAAGGAGCCCTCCTGTCAGGAACTGTTTTTGTGACCCTGGACTCTGGCCTGTGGTGAAGACCTTGTCACTTCTCGTTTCCCCTCTCACCATTTCCCACCGAAATGTAGAAGGATGGCATTGGGGAGGAGGGGCCTTTCAGGGAGGGTGACTTAGTGACCGAGGCAGCTGGGCACCCTGTAAAGAAGCAGCTTGTTTCCTCCATGTGCAGCACTGAGTACCTGAGGCAAGAGTCACAGCTCTTACCCTCTCTGGAAGATTTCTATAGCTGGCAAAGTTCCCGAGAAAGTGCCATGGACACCCGAGGTCACTTGCTGCTCTCCCTATGGCATCCTAGCTCTGACTTACTTTATTTATTTATTTACTTATTTATTTATTTTTGAGCTGACACAGACAAGGCTGGCTTCAAACTTGCCCCTGCCTCTGGAATACTGGGACTAAAGGTGTGCACCAGCACTCCTGGTCCTATACTTCTCTCTATTTCTATTTGTTTTATTTTAGACAGGGCGTCTTGTATCTCAGGCTGTTCTTTAACTTGCCTTGGAGCCAAAGAAGACTTTGTACTCCTGATCTTGCTGCCTTTACATCTCAAGTGCAGGGATTCAAGGACTGTGCCACAATGCGGAAGCTCTGCACTCTTCATTGTAGGGGTAAGATGTATTGTCTTTTCTCGACCCAAGCCTGTGTTTCTATTTCTTTCTTTCTTTCTTTCTTTCTTTTTTTTAAATCAGGTGGCTTCCCACAGAATATGATGTGCAACAAATGATTCAGTGTGCCATCCCCTTACTCGGAGTTCAAGGCCTGTTTTTGAGTCCTGTTGGGGAAACTTTACCCAACTTCCCTATTGCTCAACTCTTTCCCAATAAGAGAAAGAATGAGGTCTCTAGTGGAGACTCTCCATTAGACCATCTGGATAAGCAAAGCCTTGTGAGGATGGTGCCATTACTCAGAGGAACGTGCACGACTTACTTGGATCTGTGAAGGTTTTGATCAGCTCTTCCATGGCCAGCATCCAGGAGACAGCAAGATGGCAGTTCTGCAGGAACACCCAGTTTCCAGTCTTCATTGCATCCTTGATCATCTTCTCGGCAATGGGGCCTTGTCCCTGGCCCAGAGAAATGGACTGCACTCTGGTGGAACAACAGTGGTAGACTTTCATGCTATCTTAAAGTAATTTTAGTTAATTTAAAATTACATTTATTTATATTCTCCGTACACGCGCATGTGTGACACATCTATGTGCATGTGAACTTAGGTTTCATGGTGTGCATATGGAAGTCACAGGACAATTACAGGAGTTGGATCTCTCCTTTCACCATGTAGGACTCAGGAACTGAACTTAGGTCATTAAGTTTGGCTGCAGTTGTCTTTGCTCAGTGAGTTTCAGACTCTCTGCATAGTTCAGGTTGGCTATGAATGTTAAATTCTCTTCCTTCACCTCCTGGGTGTTAGGGTTATAGGTGTGCACAATGACATCTAGCTTGCCATCCTTTTAAATGATTTCTTTTTTATATTTCATTTAAAAAAATATTTCCATACTTCTGATGATATTTTCTTTTCCTTTTTAAATACTTATTTATTATGTATACAATATTCTGTCTGTGTGTATGCCTGCAGGTCAGAAGAGGGCACCAGACCCCATCACAGGTGGTTGTGAGCCACCGTGTGGTTGCTGGGAATTGAACTCAGGACCTCTGGAAGAGCAGGCAATGCTCTTAACTTCTGAGCCATCTCTCCAGCCCCCCCAATGATATTTTCTATATTATCCTCTATTGCTTTGTCTGCCATGTTTATATGTACCAGCTATCAGGATTGATTTACACGCACAAGCTGAGGTACTGGTACATACACATTTCATGTGTATGGCCATCCCACTGGCTCAAGGCTATATATAAACATGATTATTTTCTTCATTGCTCTAAAGGGTCACTTTCATCACAAATGGTTTTTCAAATTATGTGGCTCTATTTCTGATTTTTCTATTCTTTTTTAGCCATCTACTCATCTAGCTTTGACCAGGACCATGTCTAAATGACTCTAACAGGTTAGAGTAAATCTTGACCTCTGTTAAAATACATCATCTCACCTTGTTTTGCTTCAGTAACTTTAAAAATTTTTTTAAATTATTTTTATTGAGGTATATATTTTTCTACACTCCTCTCCCTTTCTTTCCCCTTCCCTCCTATCCTCTCCCATAATCCTCCTGCTCCCAATTTGCTCAGGAGATCTTGTCTTTTTCTATTTCCCATGTATATTAGATACATGTATGTCTCTCTTAGAATCCTCTTTGTTGTCTAGGTTCTCTGGGATTATGAATTATAGGCTGGTTTTCTTTCTTTTTGCTTTATGTCTAAAAGCCACTTATGAGTGAGTACATATGGTATTTGTCTTTCTGGGTCTGGCTTATCTCACTCAATATAATGTTTTCTAGATCCAACCATTTGTCCACAAATTTCAAGCTGTCATTATTTTTTGCTGCTGTGTAGTACTCCAGTTTGTAAATGTACCACATTTTCCTTATCCATTCTTCAATTGAGGGGCATTTAGGTTGTTTCCAGGTTCTGGCTATGACAATCAAAGCTGCTATGAACATAGCTGAGCCCATGTCCTTGTGGCACGATTGAGCATACTTTGGCTATATACCCAAAAGTGGTATTACTGGGTCTTGAGAAATATTATTTCCTAATTTTCTGAGAAATCACCATACTGACATCCAGAGGGTCTGTACCAGTTTGCACTCCCACCAGAAATGCAGAAGTGTTCCCTTTACCCCACATCCTCTCCAGCATAAGTTGTCATCAGTGGTTTTGATCTTGGCCATTCTTACAGGTGTAAGATGGAGTTTTTTTTTTTTTTTTTGATTTACATTTCTCTGATGACTAAGGATGTTGAACATTTCCTTAAGTTGAACATTTCCATTTTAGATTCCTCTGTTGAGAGTTCTGTGTTTAGGTCTGTACCCATTTTTTTTTATTGGATTATTTGTTCTTTTGATGACCAATTTCTTGAGTTCTTTGTATATTTTGGAGATCAGTCCTCTGTCCAATGTGGGGTTGTTGAAGATCTTTTCCCATACTGTAGGCTGCCATTTTGTCTTGTTGACTGTGGCCTTTGCTTTATAGAAGCTTTTCAGTTTCAGGAGATGACATTTATTAATCGTTTCTCTCAATGTCGCTTCAGTAATATTTATTCATTCCTTTTAACCACTGCAAGTGTGCTGTTAGTTCAGTGTCTGCTGGTATACGCACAGCGCTGGATGACTAGTGACTGACTGCTCATTTCAGGAACGTTTTTTTACCTCCCCTCCCCGACCAAGGAAACCTCATATCTACTCTTAAGAGTTCCTCAGAGAAACAACCAATAGCGCGCACGCACACGCGCACACACACACACACATGCACACGCACACACGTTCTCACTGCAGATGCATCCTCATGGCACACACAATTGTGTGTCTGTGTTCATATATAGGACAGAGCGGGTATTGGCTCATGTGGTTATGGAGAGCAGGCCACCCCACCGTCTTCCACCTGACAGCTGATCATAGCAGAAAGGTGGGCATTTCCTTCAGTCCGGGCCACAGGCTTTGAGATGGGGTCACTGCCAGAGGAACGCGTCTTCAACACGTCTCCAGCTGTCCTTTCTGCGCTTTTCTGTTTCCTCCCCTGGGATTTTCGCATTTGCATTTCTTAGGCCTCCGCTAATTTTTCTTTATCCTTTTTCCTTCCTGCTCTGAATGGCGTCAGCTGACCTGAGTTCACACCCACTGTGTCTTTTCCCTTACCTTTCTTTCTCCTTTTTCTCTTTCTGCTCTGAATGACGTCAGCTGAGCTGTGTTCACACCCACTGTGTCTTTTCCCTTACCTTTCTTTCTCCTTTTTCTCTTTCTGCTCTGAATGGCGTCAGCTGACCTGTGTTCACACCCACTGTGTCTTTTCCCTGCCTTCTCACACGCAGGCTGCATCCCTTCGGTGCAACCCTCCTTTCAGCATTGTGCTCTACAATTTCTCCTTGGCCTCTTTATGTAAATCCTGCCTATTGATATCCTCATTTGGGTGAGATATCTTTTGTGTTTTACTTCAGTCCCTTGTCTGTGCTTTCCTTTATCTGTTATGAATAAAATTAAAGCAGTCCAAGACCTTGTTATTCAAATGTCGAATATTCTTACTTATATGTAGAAAATAAAAAGTTGGTTTTGTTTTTTGAGACAAGGTTTCTCTTTGTAGCTCTGGCTGGCCTAGAACTCACTCTGTAGACTACGAGGCCTCAAACTCACAGAGGTCCGCCTGCCTCTGCCTGCTGAGTGCTGGGATTAAAGGACGCTGCCACCATTCGGCTAAAAAGTTGATTTTAAAGACATACAGACTAGGATCATGGTTCAAACTGTCCGGGGGAAGGGGGTTCGGAGAGGAATAAAGGACAGTCAACAGGGGCAGGGTGCTGGTGGACAGGAAGATTATGCTAACTGGTTGACAACAGTTAATAGCATCTTTTAAAATTGCTGGTAGAGAGAATTTTGATAGAAATGCCAATCACACAGATCTGATCCTAACATATGGTATACATGTCTGATGACTCATAGTTACTGTGTGTGTGTATAATGTATATACTTATAGTAACTCATGGTTACTATGAGTCAGTTAAATATATTTGAAAAGTTTTATTATGTTAAATTCAAGGTATTACATTCTTCCAAGTGAGTTGCTAATTATTTCCCCTGTGAATGAACATACTCTCTCATTTTCTTGTTTCTTTGGATGCATTGTAGTTTTGATATGTAGACATTTTGAATATATAATGTGGCAACTATAGGAATTGGGTTGTCGCCACTCCCTGATGTTCACTATTGCTCCTGTGGTTGCTACTTTTACTTAGTGACTTCTCTAATGTCCGTATTCTTTGCAGCATATATACACCCATCTCTCCGGTTGGCTGGCTTAGTGGTCAGTTGGTAGTGAAGCAGGGTTTTACCCAATGTCTGGAGTGACAACAAATTGCTCAGATTTGCACGTGGGCTCTGTAAGTCTGCACGCTGGTCAGGGGTGAAGACCACTCAGCCTGCATGACTGTCAGACCGGGGCATGGTGCTTTCCAGACTTCAGGTTCAGATTGAAGCAATGGCTCTTCTTAGGTTTCAAGACTTTAAGCTCATACCATCACTGGTCCTGGATCTCTGCCTCCCAGACTTGACTGGAGCCATATATCATCAGCTCTTCAGAGCCTCCGAGGTGCTGACTGCAGAACTTGGACCTCTCAGACTCACTAATTATAAGACATGTTCCAGTTCCTTATAATACATTTCTATACATTTTAGTATAAGGTTGATAGGGACAATAGCAATATCATATATACACATATATGTCTACACACAAACATATGTAACTATAGCCTCATGGTGTGACCTTACCGTTCTGCATACCCACTCTCCCGGGCAAACCTTTGAAAGGCGCCCATGGGATCTGAGCCTGTGCTCAAGATGAACACCAGGGGTGTGCTGCTCGACATGTCCTGATACAGAGTGGCCAGGTCTACTGGAGGTGTCTCGATAAACTGCTTGCCAAGATTCTCTATCACAAAGTCTGTAAGAGCAAAAACCACCTGAAAGTCAGAAAGAAAAAAAATGTTAAAAGTAGTATGTGGGATGAGGATGTTTTACATTCCTATCCCAGTTTTCTCTCTCTTAGAGGAGGGTGTGCTGTACTTTGATATCTAAGAAAATAACTTATTTTATCTTTAATTATGTCTGTCTGCATGTGAGTGCAGGTACTGTTAGTGGTCAGAAGGGGGCACTGAATCCCCTGGAGCTGTGCATGCCATGTGTGTGCAAGTGATCAGCTGTTAGCTGCCTGAGCTGGGAACCAAACTTAGACCTCTGAGTATGTTTGTGTGTATGTGTGTGTGCGCGCACATGTGCACATGTGCACTAGAGGGCATGCATGTGTACAAAGGCCAAAAGACAACTTTAGAAAACTGGTTTTCTTTTTCCACCTTGAGATCAGGGCACTGAACTCATATCATTAGGTTTGCACAGCAAGGGCTCTCACTCCCTGAGCCTTCTTGTGGCTCACTAAGAATTTTATTTTTAGAATGAAATTTCATCTTTGTATCTAAACATGCTGCTTCTGAAGGAGGCTGAATTTGTGTACAAGACTATAGGACCCTGTGGAGGCCACCTGTGTTGGAATGTCCCTAGTCTCCTGAATGAACATTTGACTCCAGCAGTTAGGACCATTGGACACCCAATGGCCCTTCTTTAGAACATACATGGGCACAACAGGTTAGGCACCTTACAATCTTGCCTCCGAGATCTTGTCTCTGGTCTCGTGTTTGAAGGCTTCAACCAGTTAGCTAATTTATTTATTTATTCAAGGCAGGATCATATCATATGATCCTAGCTAACCTGGAACTCACTATGTAGATCAGACTGACTTCATGGAGATCATAGAGATCCATTTGCCTCTGCCACTGAAGTGCTGAGACTATATGCATATGTTGCCATTCCTGGTCCCCAACCCCACTTATTTATCATGTCATCTTCTGGAGCAAACAGAGGGACCATGTTCCTGAATGATTCCATGAGGGTATCTAGTTGGAAGGTGTGATGCCTGGCATATTGTCATTGTTTAAATCTCCTTTGCAGTGTGATCCGGCCCATGGTCTTGACTGATTTGGGTTTTTGAATACTCATACTGTGGTGTGACTGACTTATTCTCATTTCTAAAACACAATCTGAATTTTAGACTCTTTCATGTTAACACATGAAGCAAATTTCGTTAAGCAGTATAAGCCTTATAAGATGTTTGGTTGAATGTCCAGGCGAGAACCTTCAATACGTGCTCTGTGTATTGTCATAGAAGTCTGCCATCTATAGCTTTCTTCATGTTTTTAAAAATCATTTTATTTTTATTTTAAATTGTGTGTATGTAGTTATATGTTTGTGAGTGCAGAGGCCAGAAGAGGGAATCTGATCCCCTGGAGCTGGACTTACAGGCAGTTGTGAACAGCTTAATGTGGGCACTGGGAGCTGAATCTGTGTCTTCTGCAAAGGTAGTATATTCTCTGAACTGCTGAGCCATTTCTCAACACTTAGAGAGCCCAGTTATGTGTAAGTGTAAGACCAGAAATTATAGCTTAACCCTTCTTATTTAGACTTTTGTGTGGAAGAATCATAAACCCGATTCTCCACTCAGCTCCAGCATTTACTAAGACAAGACCAGATCCTGTTTCATTGATACCTCTGCTCATTCCTTCAGTCCCCGGAGTGATGATATCAAGCAAGCCTCATGTCTCACACCATTTTACCTTTAAGGAATTCGGTATGTTTTCGTATGCCAGCCTTTTAATAACAATCACACAGTTCCTAATGATAATCCATTAATTTCAAATGTATAGCCAGTGTTCACCCTTGTCTGACCGAATTGCAAATTTGTGTGCATACATGCTTAAATTAGCAATATGTCTAATGGACGGTCAAAATAAAGCTCATGCATAAAGATTAGTTGGTTTCTCTCATACGTCTATCTTTATTAAAAATGCTTCTTTTGAAAGCTAGGGAAATGACTCGGGGATTAAAAGCACTGGCTGCTCTTGCAGAGGACCTGGGTTCAGTTCTTAGTACCTACATGGTTCCAAAGGATCCAGTGACTTCTTCTGACCTTGGCAGGTAGCAGGCATGCACATGGTGCACACAAGTATGTGCAGGCAAAACACTGATACACATAAGATAAATGTATGTTTTTAAGTGAAGCTTCTTTTCCCTTTGAGAAACAAACACACAGCTGCATAAACAGACTGTGTATCTTCAACATTTCTCACATTGAGGATTTTCTAGTCCCAGTAGCTTAGTCACCAAAGCTCTTCTCTCTGTGGGACTGATGCCTTCTCGGTACCACGCATTCTGCAAGCTCTCCCCTGCTAGCCACTGCCCCATTTTCCTCGAAGCCTTTCCATATGCTTCAGCGCGTCCCTTCCCAAAGTGCTGCTGGGTCCCAGCCACTCTGCCACCATCCGTGGTGACACATGACAAGCTCAGAATGATGTGCACAGTCAATATCGCTAACCCTAAATTAAGATGTCCTGTAAGTCCAGGGCATCTTATCTCCTCTCAGGTAGCTGTGGGGATGGCCAACCTGAGATAATGACTATTGTCCAATGTCATCTGTTCATAGCAAAGCCTCCCTTTTATGCTTCCTTTTCCTAGAAGACTTGTAGCCATGCGTTCAGTGATGTTGTAGCTGTTATACTTCCTCTGCAGTCATCTGTATCCCACGCCAATCCCAAACCCATTTTCCCACAGAGATAGGGCAACACAACGTCAGTAGTTTCCAGCTAACTCCAGTGAGTTCTCCCCACTGTATCCTTCTCCCGCCCCCTTCTCTCCTACAAAGAACAGCTTCCGTTTCTATTTGGTGCCTCCTGAAACTCACTGTGAGGGCTCCTAGCAGGTGATATTGGTCCTTTATTACCAGCAAAATTGGGATCACATCTGCACATATGGAAATGAACACTCAGCATGCATTGTTGCCTCACCGCAGGGAAACTGCAAGCCTTAGTTTCCCATGATGCTTCTCTCTGCTTTCTTCCTGCTTCTGTGACTCCTCATTTTCCTTCCCTGAAAGCAGGGCTCCACATATCATCCTCTGCCCTGGGAACTCCTATTGTACTAAATATTAGTCTCCCAGTCACAATAACCTCTGCGGCTTCATTTTCCTCATCTGTATTCTAACACACACTTCTTTCTCCCTGGAGTTTCTAGACAGCCATCCACTCTGACAGTTTGCAGGCACTGACAGCTCACAGCCATCTTTCTCTACCTCACACATTTATCCTTTCCCTTTGGCTTAGCTTTTGATATAAACAGCTCCACCGGCACTGGGGCAGAACCCGGGAGCCATAGCAGTTCCTCATCACTTCCCTGCTCTCGACAATCTGCTACTTCTGTCTTAACTCGGATATCTGGGATCTCTCCCACAGACTACTTTAGTAGGTTTCAAACAGGTCTGCAGACTATGGTTTTGTGCCCATTTAATGCCTCCTCCCCATTAGTGCCAAGATTCATTCCAAAACCTTCCAATAGACCCCAGTCCTACGTGTGAGAAGGCAGACCTTCCCTAATAGTGTACGGCCGACAGGAGGTGACCAGTTTCTCAGCTGGCTTTTCTCTTAGCCAGCAAGGAAAACACACTCTACTAAAACAATCTTTTTTATTTTTAAAGTCGCTCCCAAACTTGGCTGTTGTTAGCCACAAGTAAACGTACGACTCACAACTAGCTGAGGATCTTGGGTTGATGATGTTGTCCTTTAATTTAAAAATTATGACCCACCTTTTCTTCTTTGCAGCATTTAATAAGAATTAGCTTATGGAAAGAGCTGAAGTCTGAACCCCAAATCCGGTCCTTTCCCTCTTCCTGTTTTGATTTAGTATAGCCGTCCCAATTCTGTGGGTTAATATAGGTCTCAAAAGATCCTGGAAAGACAATTTTAAAAGATGCTTTTTAAAAAATAGAGCAGTTTTAACTATGAAATTAAATAAATACATGTTGCTAGTTAAAAGAAGGTACCTACGCTTACTGCCAGCTTTTAAAAATACAACTGTGAACACATTCACCGCTCCCCTACTCAAACTAGTTAGAAAGCAAAAAATTTAACATGAGATCACAAAGCGAAATCCAACAGCAAAACACCTACAAAAACCCCCAAAAATTCATCAAGAGGTTAAAAATAAAGGAATGTATAGAGATATTATAGTAAATAATGGTGAAATTGGAAATGATTAGAGTAACAGCAGGTAAAACAAAACTAAAATAATAATGAAATGAGGTAATAGGTCAAGTTCTACTAATCAAAATACAAATTATATAATAAAAGCACAACAAAAGTAACACATATATTAGATAATAACATAAAATCTATTAAGCAGGACCTGTTGGGGTAGTAGGAAAAGCAGAAAAGAATACAATAATGTTAAGAAATAGCACACAGGGGGCTGGAGAGGTGGCTCAGAGGTTAAGGACATTGGCTGCTCTTTCAGAGGACCCAAGTTTAATTCCTGGCTCCCATGTGGTGGCTCATAACCACCCTTAACTCCTGACCTCTGTGGACACCACACATACACATGGAACACAGACATACAGGCAAGTAGAACACCAATAAGCATAAAAATAAATACATCTAAAAAGAAATTTTAAAAACTAGCATAGAGCTGTTAGCCTTCCACAGAAAAACATTGACTCTGGTACATGTAATTTGACGGAGATAAATACTGTATGAATACATTGACGTGACTACCACATGCCCAATACATAGAGTGCACCGTTCCCCCCACAGCACTCCAGCTATGCAATAGTCCCAAGAAATGAGGGTTAGGATGCTAGTTAGCTTTTAAAAGAGGTTTATTTTTTGATTTGTGTGTGGGTATCTGCATACACATGGACAGGTGCCCACAGAGGCCAAAGGAGCGCATCCTGGAGCTGGATTGCTGGGTGTAACTTCTGAGGGCCTAATAGCGGCAAAGGGCCAAGGACACTTCAAAACTGAGTGTCCCTTATGGTAGTGAGAGTCCACTTCTGCAGAACTAGTGACCTCTGTAGGGAGCAGAGGTGACTGCAGGCTGTGCCAGCACAGGGCTCAAGCCACAGCAACGCTTATCAGCTCAACGTTGTTGCACGTGCGTGAGCAGCAGTGCAGAGAACCTGTCATGGCAGAGCCAATCCAATCCAGTTCGAACCCAAACAAACCCAGAGCACACAGAAGACTACCGCCGGGGTTCTCGTTTACTATCTAATTTCCAGTGCTTTGGCATATTTAAACATTGGAGGTTTTATTTTAAAGACTAATTTGTTTTTATTTTATATATTAATATAACATGTTTATTATTTGGTAACTTCATATTTGCATGGAAGATATGTTAATCGTCTCTGATTCCTCACCATAACTCTTCCCAGATCCACCCCACTCTTCCCTCGATTTTTTATTTTTATTTCTGTGTATGTGTGTGTCTATGTGTGCTGGTGCCCAAAGAGGTCAGGAGAGGACTCTGGAGTTACGGGTGGGTACCGGAAAAGTGAATCCAGACCTCCTGCAAGACCAGGAATCTCTCAAGCACTGAGCCATCTCTCCAGCCCCTGCATATTCAAAGTAATTTTTCTCAGCTAATAAAATCTATTAGTTGAGCTACTTGAAATCCACAAAAGGCTATAAGTTGATATAATTATGAAGACTGAGTTAAGGGTGACAATGAGATTAGTGACTAAATATTACCAGTGAAGACCCAAATCTCAATTTGGAGCATAAATCTATTATAAATATAAACTTCAACAGTCTTCTACAGTTTTAGTTCAGTGGCCAGGACTAACAGTTTACTGTCTTATTATTTTATCTGGAAGCAATGGAGCGCTCCCAGAACTACCCTGCCTGTCAACCCAGCTCCTTCCTCTTTCTCTGTCTGCACTCAGTCTCATCTAGTCCTCTGTCTCGAGTCCATCCCTAATTGTCCATCTTTGGGCTTCTCTGATGAGCAGATTTCATGTGGGATTCTGGAATAGCCTCTCGGTAGCTCACTAACCAGTGTACTATATACAAATGCAATGTATATTTGAAGCTATCATCCAATAGCATTTTTTGGTAGTCTTTATTTGGAAGTCAAATGAGAATATTAGGATCCCAGAAATTCTGGTCCACAGAGACTCCATACCAGCACACTTGGTGTGGTTAGCTAGATAAATAGTAATGTTAGAAGTATGAACTTCATGTCAGGACAGAAGAAACTAAGATGATTTGTGGACGACCCATTTTGAAGTCAAGAAGGGAAAAGGAAAATCTCTGCAAGATGAGACAGTAACAGCAAACCCAGGCTGGTCGCTCCTCCAGCTCACTAATGCTGACATTCTGGACAAGGTGTGTCCTCTCCGTGGAGAGCTCTGAGCATTGTAGGGTGCTCAGCAGCATTCTGTGTCTCTTCTCACCTGCAGCACCACCCCCATGCGGCAACGATAATATCTCTGGATGTTACCAAATATCCTCTTGGGGCTAAAAATTTTCACCAGTTTGGAAAACAGAAATAGATCAATAACTGAAATAAATACAATGAACTAAAACCTGCCTGTTAATAAAGAGAGACTCTTACATGAATCCCAACAGCACCCACCAAAGATACACTTGAGCCATCAAATGACACACCAGACTAAGAAGAAATAGAGTATAGAAATATAGAAATGAAGGCTTGCTAAGAGAAACTTACATTACAAAAGAGATTTTTTTTTTTTTTTTGAGACAAGGTTTCTCTGTGTAGCTTTTGAGCCTGTCCAGGAACTCATTTTGTAGAGGCTGGCCTCGAACTCACAGAGATTCACCTCTGCCTCGCAAGTGCTGGAATTAAAGGTGTGTGCCACCACTGCCCGACACAAAAGAGATTTTTAAGGGCTGAAGAGGTGGTTCAGCAGTTAAGAGCTCCATCTGCTCAAAGACCCTAGTTCTACATGCAACACCAGGGCTAGGGTATCAGGCGCCCTCTTCTGACCTCCTCAGTACTCCCACACATAGACAATATACATAAAGAAAAACAACTTAAAATAGATTTTAAGTAAAGAGTATTATTCAGAGTAAAGAGAAATATTATAAGAAAGAAGAATTTCTTTACTTCACATAAAATAACTTAATTTGCATAGAACAGCATAATCTTATAAGATGTAGTAAAAACCCCGAAAAGCTACCAACAGAAATTGCCCATCGCCTGGTGCCCTTCAGCACACGTCCCTCAGAACCTGATGGGATGGGAATGAAACTACCAGTGAAGTCAGTGGCAGAGTACGTTGGAGCTGAACACCACATATAGATCTTGCCTCCAATAAATGAGATGCGCAGAACATTTTCCATACATGGCACATGCATCAAGCTGCCAAAATGTCTAAAGAATCACAAAGCATTAATCTTAAAGCAAAAGATAATTTTCATTTTATAACGAGTTGATCCAGAAAATAAGGCCCCTGGATATTAATTGCTTTTGAACTACAAAAAGCAGTTTTAGAATGGAAAGAGCGCATTTAAGACATACGGGGAAGAAAACACTACAGATCAGAGCTGTTGTTGCCTGCGGCTAAAGGGGAAGGCACCGAGAAGCAGCGGGAAGGATTCTGCGGTGTGGGTACTGTCCCACTTCTCAAGGCAGTGCTGGTTTCCGAGTGTGTAAGTGTATGACGTCAAGTTGCACTTCTGGCTTCTCAGAGTACATGCCATCCTTTAAAATAGTTTAAAGATCTATGGATTGCAGCTAAAGTGCCTTAAAGGCGATAAAACAGGCTGGGGAGATGGCTCAGTGGACAGAGAGCCTACTGTGAAGCATGAAGACCCAGGTTCGGATCCCCAGCGCCCATGCAAAAGCCAGGCACTGATGGTCTTGCCCTGTAACTTTAGTGATGGACAGTGGAGGCAGGTGGATCTCTGGCCAATCAGTCCAGAGGAAATGGTTAACTTCAGGCTCAACCAGAGACCCTGTCTCAAGAAATAAAAGGTGGAGAAGTGATAGAAGAAACATCTGACACTGGCTCTGGCTTCCATAGCTGCCCGGCTGCACGGGCAAGTACATACTCTGACCACACACACACACACACACACACACACACACACTGTAAAATAGCCATGCAATATTCACAACTAATAGGTGGAACACTCAATTCAAGATGTTGTAAAAGCAATTAACTTATAATTTTTTTTTTGGCAAAAAGTATGACATTGGAGAAAGGGTGAATGCATGAATTAAGGTCAGGAATGAGGAGTCCATTTACCCCTCCCTCCATCAACAGTACACTTTGTCCCTTACCTATGCGCACGGAAATGGGGTGTAACAGGATACTTTTTGTAAGTCCTTCAAACACTGGAAAGGTTTCTTCTAAGTCACAGCACGAGAACCACATTTGAAGAGGCAGCCAGGAAGCTTCCGGCTTAGGAGGGCGCTCCTACAGGGAGACAGGACGCGGGCAGAGGTTACAGAGACAACCATGACAGTGTGCTCTTGCAGTTTGTCTAGGGGAAAAGAAGCTGTAACAGCATGCTGGAAACAGCCGTTCTTGGGGCGGGGAGCGCGCTTGTGGGTGCGGGCACCTATGCAAGAATGAGGACCCGAGTTCAGATTCCAGCGGCCATGTAAGATGGCTCACAACCACCTGTAACTTCAGTTTCAGGGGATCTGAAACTTCTGGACTTGGTAAGCACTTGTGTGGTTCCCCCAACATACATATAATTTAAAAGAAAAACTATTAAGAACACATACATATGTGCACACATGCATGTATGCACACACGCATGCATGCAGTGCACACACACACATTTAGCTGTGATGAGCGAATATGCAGTTATTTCAGATATTCCTAGAAATCTCTACTGTGCCACCCAGCAATACTTCGTGAAGCACTACATAAGGCTGAACCGAAAAGAGAGATAACTATGATCTCAGATAACTACTTCTAAACAGATGCCTGAGGTTTTGAACTATGTGTTCAACCAGCTTGTTGCATACAAATCATGCACCGTCCAATTGAACTGTTTAAAGCATGTAATCCAGTGGCTCCCATGTTCCTAATGCTGTGATCCTCACGTTGTGGTTACCCCTGATCATAAAATTGTTTCATTGCTACTTTATAACTGTAATTTTGCTACTGTTAGGAATCATAATTAAATATCTACTTTGCAGGATATCTGATATGAGTTCCCCAAAGGGGTCTCAAACTACAGGATGAGAACTGCTGATATAACCTTTTGAATATTAACAGAGGAGTGTAACTGTTCCACTGGCAGTTTTAGAAGACTTAATTCCCTAAATATCAGACTGTACACAGACATACCCAGGAGACATCTCAAGTTAATCCCATTGCCTCACAAGGTGGATAATGCAATTAAATGTTACACTGAGTTTCGGGTTTACTATGGAACATGGAATTATTTTACACTATACTGTAGTCTATTTCATATGCAACATTTGGCATGATGTCTAAAAATGCATGTAGCTAAATTCAAAACATTATTGCTAAAATTTGCTAATGATCGTCTGAGCCTTTGCTGATTCGCGATGTCTTCACTGGTCCTGGGGTTGGTGGCTGCTGACTGTTCAACGTGGTGGCTGTGGCACTGATTTCTTAAATCAGTGTGAATCTTGCCTCTTCCTTCCACGACAGACTTCTCTGCAGCTTGAGACACTGCCGGCGGCATCTCACCCACAGCAGAACAGCTTTCAAAGCTGGAGTCGGTTTTCTCAAATTCTTCTCATTCAAGTAAATGTGTGTGAGTTTGTTTTATTTTGATTATTTACGTTTATCTCTTTGTGTGTGTGACATGTGTAGCGGTGCCTTCAGAGGTTCTCTCTGAAGATGGAGAGGTGCCCTCATCCATTGAGCCATCTCTCCTGTTCGTTGTGTGATACTTTAAAGCCCTTATTATTTCCACAACCTTCAGGACATCTTCACCAGAAGTGTTACCTTCTCAAGAACTCACACCCTTGGTCTGTAAGAAGTAACTTGGGTTTCATCATGAGATTAGAGCAAATCAGTCACTCTCTCCAACTCCCCAGACGCTTCTAATTCCAGCTCTCTGACTTTCTAAAAATGACATCTCTACTTCCTTCCTGTACAGAAGTCTGGATCCCCTCAAAGCCATCCATGAGAGTTGAAGAACTCACTCTACATTCCTGTTAACCTCTCTGTTAAACCACGGGTAGTCAGAATGGTGTCCTGATGTTGAGCCCTTTCCAGAGGTTTTCAGTTCAGTTTGTCCAGATCTCTAGAAGAATCATATTCTTTGGCAGATGTCCTCATGAGATATGCTTCTTACATAGCAGGACTTGAGAATCAATTGTTCCTGCTCCACTGGGCTGTAGAGGGGATATTGTTCCAAAAAGCATGGAGACAACATTCACCTTGCACATCTTCATGGGTGCTCTTGAGTGACCATGAACACCGTCTACCAGAGTGGGATCTGTTTGCTCTGCTGAGCTGTAGATCTTAGCAGTGGGTTCAAGATGTTTAGTGATCATGTTGTATACAGATATGCCACTTCTTTAAGATTTGTTTTTATTTTTATTTATGTGTTTATATGCACCCGTTCATGTGGGTACCCTATAGAAACCAGAAGAAGGTGTTGGATCCTCTGGAGTCAGAGTTATGGCAGTTGCGAGCCACCTAACATATGTGCTGAGAACTGAACGCAGGTCCTCGGCAAGGGCAGCGTGTTCTTAACCATCAAGGCCTCTTTACAAGCCCGAGATGTGCTACTCACCAGGTTCCAATTCCACTTAGCACAGGGGAGGATTTTTACTGTCGTTCGCGCTATTCAATTCTTAAAACATTAAAAAAATTATTTTGTATCATGTGTAAGAAAAGTGTTTCGCCCACATGTTTTTATATGCACCACATGCATGCAGTGCCCACAGAGGCCAGGGGAGGGTGCTATATCCCCTGGAACTGGAGTTAGGCATGTAACAAGCGGAGGTGCTAACTTCTTGAGCAGCATGTTATAGTAGTCGGAGTCCTTGGGTAAGAGCTCCAGGAACTTCATCAGGACTTTCACGGCTGAAAGCACCACCGCAGAGTTGGCATGGGAGAGTCGAGGAGTCACTCGCTCACAGATGCTCTGGGCTTCCCGGTCATCTTTAGGGTTGTAATTAGACAGGCAGTCCAGGATGAAAATCTGGCCCCATTCAGTGCACTCATTTAGGGCTGTGAGCAGCTTATTGATATTCTGAGAGTTCAGATCAAGTAAGTTGCTGTTTGGGTGAGATTCACTGATCTCAGACAATGCCGTCACAGCGTTAGCCACCACCATTGGATTTGAATCTGCTATGAGATCCTGCAGAGAATCCAGAAATCCCTGGTCTTCCACCATCTGGGCATTGATATCATGGAGTTTTGCCACACAGACTGCTGCTGTTTTCCGAACATAGGGGTCTTCATCTTTCAAGCACTTGCGGAGGGGTTCACAGAGATATTCTGTAATCTTGTCCACCGGGATACACCCCATGGTTCTAACTGCCAATGCTCGAATCAAAGGATTAGGATCTTCACAATCCTTCACAAAGCTGTTGACAGCCATGATGGCCATGTCTGGCTGACTCTTGGCATAGTTCATCAGATAGAGGTACACCAGCTTCTTCAGTTCCAGGTTGTCAGTCTGCATACAGTTCACCACATCTGGGAAGAGAGAGCTAAAATCCTTCCCCACGGTCATAGCGGCAATCACCTTCTTCACAGCCTCCTTCCTCTTTTCTTTCTTTTCATTGTTGAGTTCAGCTTTTAATTCAAAGATTTCTCCTTTCTTATTGGTTGTGAAGTACTTGGAGTCAGTCATGATTCTCGATCTTTAGAGTGTACCGGAGGCAAGGGCGGGGTGGCGGCGGCAGCCAGAGAGCACAGCCTGGGTGGTGGTGTAATGGTTTCCTGCCCGTCACCGGAGTTAGGCATGTAGATGCTGGGAATTGAACCTAGGTGCTTTGCCAGAGTTGTCAGTGCTCTTAACCTCTGAGCCATCTTTCTAGCTTTAGTATCATTATTAAGGCTCTAGGATTCGAGAGTCAGTCTGTCTTCAAAGCTTTGAAGCACACATTGGCTTCCGCTTTTTAGCCATGGAAGTCTTAGAAGGCATCTTCTTCCAGCTGTCTATGTAGGGAATCTGTTGCTCAGAGAGGCTTCTTTGTTTCTGGTTCCAAACTTTTCTTCTGCATCTTCTCTACCCCTCTCTGCCTCCATAGTCTTAGAGAATTGGGCCTTGCTCTGTGTCAGGCTCTGGACTGAGGGGATGCAGTGGTTGGATCTGCATCAGGCTCTGGATTGAGTGGATGCTGTGGTTGGATCTGTATCAGGTTCTGGACTGAGGGGATGCAGTGGTTGGATCTGCTCTGTATGGAGAGGACGTTGTGGCTGGATCCATCTACTTTTTATCATTCATATGCTTGCTGGAATGTGTTGCTTTTAATTTCCTTCAAGAGGCCAGTGTAGTGACACAAGAATTTAGCACCACCACTCATGAGACAGAGGCAGATGGATTTCTGTGAGTTTGAGGTCTACTCAGTGAGTTCCAGGATGGCCAAAGATACCTAAAAGAGGGACCCTGCCTCAAAAACAAAATAAAACCCCATCAAAACCCCCAAACCAAACCAAACAATGACCCACCCAACAACAACAACAACAAAACAACAACAACAACAACAAAATTGTCTTCAGGAGCTTCCCCTTTGCTCTCGCAGCTCCATTCACTGCCTGGCGGAAGAGCTGGACTTCTCCAACCTTAATTGTTTTTGGCTTTAGATTCCAAGAGAGATGTTCAAGAGAGGTTACTGCATGACCATTAGTTGACCAAGTGTCTTTTCAAAGTGTTTTATTTTATGTGTACAAGTGTTTGATTCATGTATGCATGTACACCATGTGCATGTCTGGTACCAAGAAGGTCAGAAGAGAGCAGTGGATTCCCTGGACCTGGAGCCACCGTGTGGGTGCTGCGACAGAGGCTGGACCCTCAGCAGAGCAGCTCGCTCTCTCAACTGTCAAGTCTTCTCTCCAGTTGCCAATGTAGCTATTCATTTAGGGTTACAGTTTTCAGTTAGGGTGCAAATTAATGGGTTTCCTTACGGGATTTTTATACAAAGGTCCCATTATACTTTGTTCTAACTTGTCCCTTCCTGCAGCATCTTCTCCCAATTCCTCCTGCACCCCTTTGCTGGTAATTAGCCTAGTTTCCAATTCTCCCAATTCAGGGAATAGGGAGTCCCAAGAAAAGAGAGACAGAGCTAGGGTAGTTGGTTGGTTGAACAGTGAGAACACATACATTTAAGGTCACTGCTTCATTGAGCGTGGCTTGTGGCACCCCAAAACAATTATAACAGTAGCCCTGAAGATCTCTGAGCACAGATATAATAATATTGAGAACTTGCAATACTGATAGAATGATCAATGTGTAACCCAGAGTCATGAAGTAAGCCCATGCTATTGGATAACGGCCTATAGATGGTCTGGAAGAGACTTGGGCTGCGGAGACTTTAGCTACGCGTGACGCAGTCCCTCTCATGTAACAGAAGAGACTTGGGCTGCGGAGACTTAGACACGCGTGAATCAGTCCCTCTCAAGCATTAATGCATTCTGGAAAGTTCTTTAGCTTCTCCGAGTCTCCCTGTGAGAAAACTTCACATTTGTCAGCCAGTTAGTATTTTCTGTTTTGTTTTTTTAAAGATTGTCTAGAAGAGGATGTTGAATCCCTTGGGGTGGAGAGATAGGGAGTTGTAAGCTATCAAATGTGAGTGCCGGGAGGCCAGCTTGGTCCTCTGGAGCAGTCGCAAGTTCTTTTGGTCACTGAGCCATCTCTCCAGTTTCCCAGATAATTGATTTCCTAGCTCACTGGCTACTCCAGCTGTTTCTGAGAGGAGGACAACTCTGCACACAAGGCAAAATGTTAACGCCATTCTACAGCCAGCTGGTGGCCCTGCTGAGCTGCGACCCAGCCTCCTGGCTGTGCAACACTGTGGGGTGACTGTGAGCTGTGGTTTGGATGTGAAAGACCCCTCACAGGCTCCTGTGTTTGAACAGCAGCTCTCTAGTTGATGGCACTTTGAATAAGGTTGTGGAAGCTCCAGGAGGCGGAGTCTTGCTGGAGGAAGCGGGTAACTGAGGGGTAGGTCTTGAGGTTTAATTGCCTGGCTCAACTTTTTTCTTTTTTTAAGTTTAGACCAAGGACATGTCCAAACCTGAATTCTCCACTTCTCTCCCTTTGCATTTTTTTTTGTCTTCCGTTTCTGCCGTTTGTAGTTAGTGGCCTGTTGGTAGCTTAGCTGTTGGATGTGTCTGATCTCTGTTCCTGGTGTCTGTCCTTAACATGAAGGACTTTATTAGACAGCACAGAAAACATGTTTTGAGAAGGGATGAGGGATACTTTTTTTTTTTTTTTTAAACAGCAATCTTTAGCAGAGTTTTACAAGGGAAAATTCACTAACTGAGCCCCAGGGCTCCAAATCAAACAGATGTTATCACCTGTTTCCACGTGTTGCTTCCGGCCTTTATGCTGGCCCCACTTCCAGTCCTAGCTCTCCTTCCCGACTGTGCACCCAGTGTGAGCACAGGCTTGCTGCTCTGCTGCCCTGCCATCGCCACCCCCATGATAGCCCCGCCCTCTGCTGCCATTCCCCCTAAAGCCCCGCCCTCTGCTGCCATTTTCCACCCTCCCATAGCCCCGCCCTCTGCCGAGCTCCAGCGGACACTTCCTTCCTCAGGTTGCTTCCGGTCAGCTATCTGGTCACAACAGTGAGAAAGGGAGTGCGCGCTAACAGGTGGGAGGACTTCACCCTCTCGGCTACCTTCTCCATTCCTGCAGCGCCGCGGAGGAAGAAATTCCACTCAGGCTCAGTCAGCTGCCCTTGCTGGCGCATGATCTCAACGCAGAGCATGAAGCTATAGATGAGCTTGTGCTGCTCGAAGAGCCCCCGGGAAACATTGGTGTATGCAGTGAGCAGGGTCTGCTGCAGGAGGATGGTCAGGCGGTACTGCAGATCGTCGGCCTTCTCGGAAGTTTCTATCGTTGTGTTGAACAGCTGAGGAAGAAAGAAGGCTTTGACTAATCCTCTGTGGTGCAAAAACCCGTGTTCCTCCTGTCTGCCCCCATTTTGACATTCAGTGAGCAATATGGTAGGCTAACACATTGGGGAAAAAAAAGTCTAGAATGGATCTCAACTTGCTGAGATTTGTGTTCTGCCCCATTAAGACCACTAGAGGAAAATCCGGCTCCTTTTGTCCTATTTCCAGGTGTTTCCGTTTGCACAGGAATTGTGTGACTACTGCGGATGAGTGGAAACGGTCTCCTCACTCGAAGAGACTCAAGAAGTGCTGTACAGTGTACAGCCCCACGGAGGACAGAGGATGGGAGAGACACCCTCCACCCGAGGCAAGGTGGGGTAAGTGGCCTACAAGCTTACCAGGCGGAAGAAACTACTGCGGAGTAGCTGACCGCCCCTTCCTTCTGGAGTCGGGGCTGTGCTCTCTTCCCTCAGGTCGGCACTATCCTGAGCAACTCACTAGACCTCAGCCTGAGTGCAGTGCGTGTCACTCAGGGCTGGACCAGAAACCTGGCCTGTGATCTTTGTGCCTTTGCTTCAGGGAGATGCTCTCTTGGCACCCACCCCATTTTCTTATAGCAAGATGGCCAAGACCTTGGAGTGGCCACTGACCACGAACCTGTGTAGCTGGAGGATAACATTCACATGAGGGCTAGTCTAACTACTAATAGAAACCTCAGGAAGAGACTCCCCACATCTTGCCATATGTTCCTGATGGAAACCATAAACCAGGAAAGCTAGCCAGTGTTAATTAAATTAGAAGAAAATCAAAAGAGGGGGAATTGTAAACAAAATGTACCATTCTCCCCCCCCCCCCAAAGAGTTAAATAAAACAAAATGCCATAAAAAAACACTGTAAAGAGGCTCTTTGGAAGAAATTTCAATTCCTCCGGGGCCAGCACTTCTTGAAATCAAATATGTGCACAAGGTTACACTTTCTGCTCCAAATCACTTCTGCTTCTTAGCTGTGACTCTTTAAATTATCCAACCAAGGAAGAATGTGGCGACTTGGAGTGAGGCAAGAACCCCCCTGCATTAGGAGTTAGGACCCAGAGGGACTCCTGCCAGGTGTGCTTGCCCACTAGAGTGGGCACAGCTACGCACTGTTCTGAAGAAGGAAACCTTTTGCCTTGCTAAGCCACTTTGGACAGTGTGGTTATTTTCTTGAGATAGTAGACCCACTTCTTAGAGGGGTCAATGACCCAGCCATGTGAGGAAGTCATTACAGGTGCACAGCCCTGCCAGCTCGCACAGGTGTGTGGCAGGCCTTTCTGGGGAAGGTGGCATTTTGCCTGGAAGGCAGGGTGCTCTAGATAGTAGAGAGAGTGCAGTCGGCACATGAACTAGTGAGTCTAGCAGACTGGATCAGTTTGGCAGGAGGCGGCGGAGGCCTTTGTTGTACTGTTGTGAGGGTGAATGAGGAGGGTTGGAAAAGTGGGGTACGCTAACTGCTCCACATAGAAAAGGGGATGATATACGCTGTGAACTGGTAGGGGATGGGGAGGAAATGGAGGAAGATAGGAGAACACACAGCAGAAGATGGGGGGATGATCAAGTCTAGCTAAGGTTTAGCCCGAAGCCCATAAATGTCAACATTGCACTCTTCCATTGGGTTCCTGCTTAAATGAGTAGTTGTTAATTGCTGTTGCTATAGAAGCAAAAGCTGGGGGCAGCTGTGAGGATATGGATATGCTAAGTCGTCCCTCTCTAGTCACCTTTATACTAGCTTTATGAACCCCATTATATGCTATATATTGTAAGTATGCATAAGAATATTTATTTGCTGACTTTTTTGCCTTTCTCCACTGAAGCTTTTGTATGTATAAAAAGTGCATATTGAGCATACTCACATCCACACTATTTTTATAATTTTTTTAGCTAAAATTGTTAACTTTCCCCCACCCTCTAACTATTTAGTTTTTAGATTAAAGACACAACATAGATCTGACAGGAGGAGCAGGGAGGTGGAAGATTGGGCTATTGAGGTACTCGTGGAGTGAGCTTTCTGTTCCCCTGGTCTTCAGTGAACACAACAGAGCTGGCTGAAGCTCCGTGACTATAGATACTGAGCGTGGCTATAGAGACGGTGCGGCATCCGATCAGCCTTCCCCAGGAGAGATCAGGTGAGAGTCAGGTGTGAACGCGAGGCAAGAGAGACTGAAGTAAAACACGAGTGTCTCACCGTCGGGTGGAGAGACAGAAACAGAGCAAAGAAAAGTGAATCCTCTGAATCAAAGGCACCAGGAAGATGGTGCAGGGAACATTCTGGGGAGGGGTGGGGGAGACACCGGAGCCAGCTTCGCTAAGGTCGGTGCCAAGCCCGCTGCAGCGTAGAGAGAACAAAGTATGGGGGTGAATATGAACAAAGTAGAAAAAGATTATTTTTCATTATCACCTGTGTGGTGTGTTTGTGCATTTGTGTGTGTGTGTGATGTTTATGAACACTTTGTGTGTGTGAACACGTGCACATATGTGAACATGCATGTGGAGACCGAGGTGGATGCTGGCACCACCATCCCCAGTCACTCTTCCACTTACTAATTAAGACAGGGTCTCCCAATCAAACCCAGCAGTCACCGATAGGGCTGGTGTTGCTAGCCAGCTTGCTCTGGGGATCCCCTGTCTCTCTGCCTTCTGAGGCTGGAATGATAGTCAGGTGCACATAGCACTTGCTCTAGTCTTCATTATTGAGCGGAATGCACTTTAACTATGGCTACCTTCCCAGTGCTGAGACCCTTTAATACGATTCCCCAAGGTGTGGGGAACCCAATCATAATTTTTTTGTTGCTACTTCATAACTGTAATTTTGCTACTGCTATGAAACATAATGTAAGTATCTGTGTTTGCTGATGGTCTTAGGCTATCCCTGTGAAAGGGTTGTTTGGTCCTCCAGAGCGGTTATGACCCACAGGTTGAAAACCAATGCCTTAAAGAGAGAGATTTTTACAACAAAGGTGGGCAGGCCAGAGGGAAAGCAAGCAAGCTGAGGAAGCAGAAGGGAAATGGGCCTTACCAAGCTCCGCCCTCCTCTTCCCCTACAGCATTCTGCACTCACTGGGCACTGGACTCCTTAGGTGACCTGGTAGATGGGACTATTCTAGAACTCTGTGCCTGCACTCCAAGTCCTGGAGGATTTTACCCCTAAACTTAATTCATGGCTTGTCAAAGGCAACAAATGACCCACTTTCAAAGGGGACTCAAGACAACAAGGCAGTCACCTGTTTAAAATACTTGAGCGAATACTGATACATGGGGTCGATTTCTGAGAGGCTAGCGATGACGAAGTACATCACGGAGCCCTGCGTGGCCACTGGGCGGTACTTCTCTCGAGCTATGTTGATCATCAGCTCCGTGGACTCTGCCTCCTTCAGCCTGGTTTTAATGGCACCCGAAGTGATCTGAATAAACACACACAAGTTCTTAGAGATCTGCTTCTGAAAAGTAGTGGGGATTTCGGAATGCATCCAGTCCAGTCTAAGAAAGAGAAAAGGATAAATCCAGGCTGTGGTGGTGCACGCCTTTAATTCTAGCACTCGGGAGGCAGAGGCAGGCGAATCTCTGAGTTTGAAGAGATTCTACAAACTCAGAAGCTAGTCTACAGAGCAAGATCCAGGATTACACAAAGAAACCCTTTCTAGGAAAACAAACAAACAGAAATAATAAGGGGACATTAAAGTAAAGGCGTGGTGAAAGAGGCTCTGGACCCAGACATATTCTTCTGACTGAGCTGACCCTGGCTCCTTGCATTTAGGAATCCTAGAAGTCATGAGGAGAGCCTGGGGTGGGGCCCAGCTTAGAATTCTCGATGTGCTGAGACTCAGTTCTGCAAGGGCTCTTGGCAAGTGCTTACCGCTGGACTAGTAGTGAGGCCAGCAGCTGCTTTTTAACACCAACCAAATAAAAGATCACGAAACACGCTCCTATGTGTTCAAGGCTCAGTTTTTCCCTACCAAACCACTCTGTCTCTCTGAAGCAATGAGAATCACTTTATGGGCTGGGTTCTTTGCACACACTTCTGAAAACACTGTTTACGTTTGTGAAATAGCACTCCAGGATCACGAGCTTATGTACACCTCAGCAGTAGCCACGGGGTTCTATTGACACCAGCGGTGTGTGTGAGCACCGTGCCTGATGCTTAGAGAAGAGGTAATAGGTGAGCTGCTCACCGAGTCCCACTGCACAGAACTCACCTGCCTAAGGAAGGGGTAAGACACGGGCCCTCTAACTATGGCTTCAGGTAAGCAGTAGCAAGGCTGTGATAGAGGCTTGGGCGGAGGAGACGGATGCCAGCTGGTGCCACTAGGTAGACTTCCTAGAGGAAGTGACAATGACTTTCCATTTGTATGTTGTCCTGGTTCTTCACGATCTTTGTTTTTAAAATGTTGAATAGACAAGAGGGTCAGTGGCCTACAGTTTCCATGCTATTTGGTTGACGGAGAGGCCTGAGAGCTAGGCATACTTTGTTTGTGTCCCCAGAAACTTACAGAAGGCCCACTCTTGCTCTGAAGATCATGTAGGACATTCAGATTTTATTTCATGTGTATGGGTGTTTTGCCTGTGTGTGTATCTGTGCGCCACCTGGGCGCAGTGCTGGCAGACGCGAGAAGAGGGCATTGGATCCCCTGGAACAGGAGGTAGAGATGGCTGTTAGTCACAATGTGGGTGCTGCAATTCCAACCTGGGTCCTTTGGAATGGCAGGTCCACCAGAGAGCCACCCAGGCCCCTACACTATGACTTTTGAAGCCATACATTTCTAGCTTTGAGACAGAGTTTCCTTACATAACCTAGGCTACTCTGTAATTCACTACAGTCCAGGTAGGCATTCAGTTTTTAATGCTCCTGTCTCAGCCTCTTGAATGCTGGCACAGGTCTGCACTGTCATGGATGGAGGAACACGGTCTCTGCAAACACTAAGACTGTCACTTGCCTTTGAGTCCTGGAGCGTATCGATGAGTTCTTCGTTATCCAGAATATTCCCTTCAGACGTAAAGAGCAACTTCAGGATTTTGTCTTCAATGGATTTCAGCTGGTTTTTGTCAGTATTGATCCTCACGATGAGCTTGATTCGCTGTTCCTCCAACTCAGGTTTTTCAAGCCGCACCACGTCACTAGATCCAAAGTTGAAAGAGCAGGATTAGAACTTGGTCAGCTCCCTAAGTCACGGCTGTTCCTTCCCCGTGTGTAGCTGTTCCGCTTGAGTATTCTGTAGCCAGGCATTGGGAGTGCTGCGCAGCTGAGTCTGAAAGCACATGTCCCTGGTTGCTGGGTTGGCATGATGGCTCTTCAGAGAACTGCATGCCAATCATATATTTATTTTAATATGTATCTATTTATTTGGTGTGTGTGTGTGTTTGCATGCGTATGTGTGTGTGTGCGCGTGTGCACGCAGATGGAGGACAAATGATAACTGTGGTGGTGTTCCTCAGTAATGCTACCTAACCTATTTTGAGAGTGCCCCATTGGCCTGCAGCTCACCCATTAGGTTAGGCTGGCTGACGGAATGCCTCTAGTCATCTGCCTGTCTCTACCTTCCCAGTACTGGGATAAAACCATGAGCCACCACGCCTGGCTTTTCATGTGAGTTCTGGAAATTTAACTGAGGTCGCAGGGGCCCCAGAGATGGCTTAGCAGGTAAAGGCTCTTGGTACTAGGGCTGATGACTTGAGCTAAGTTCCTAGAACCCACATTATGAAAAGAGATTACTAAAGCTGACAGGCGATTTTCTGAGTTCTTCACATGCTCCATGGTCTGGTGCATATGCTACTCCATGCTAAATAATACACAAACAAACAAACAAATATAAAAACTGAACGCAGGTCCCTATGCTTGTCCATCAGGCACTCTATGGACTGAGTTGTCTCCCAGGCTGGAATGTCAGAGATACACGTTCTCTACCATTCTTCTCACAGCATCTACTCACTAGGAGGGAACCCGTTTACCACTCCAATCAGCCAGCTTCATTCACTAATGCTCATCTATGCCAAGTCAAAAAGAGGAAGCAGAACATTTTAGACAGGAGTCAAAAAAGGTGAACATGGGAGGTTATGAAACCTTACCATCTCAAAGAAGCAATTCTCTTATATAAATAGTTCATGAATTTATTCTTATCATAAAGCAACAGATGAAAAGATAGAAGTTCTATTTTGTCAGCTCCATCACTGTATCTGAAGCCCCCCTTAGGAGTAACCATGGTTTAAAAGGCATCCTTCTGAAGCCCTTCCTCTGGGCCACTGTGATGGCTCAGCAGTTAAAGGTACCTGCTGCTGAGCCTGAAAACCCTATCCTGAGTGAGATAACCCAGACCCAAAAAGATTAATATGGTATGTACTCACTCATTAGTGGACTCTAGCCATAAACAAAGGACATTAAGTCAATAGTTCACAAGCCTAGAGAAGCCAAACAACAAGGTGACCCCAAAGAAAAACATATATAGATCCTCTTGGAAATTGGAAGCAAACAAGATTGCCAGGCAAAAGTTGGGAGCATGCCAGTGGGGATGGGGGTATGCTTGGGGGAGTGGGAGGGTGGAGATGGAGGAAGGGCAGATATAGGAGCAGGGAAGAAGATATCTACATTAAGGGAGCCATTTTAGGGTTGGCAAGAGACTTGGCTCTAGAGGGGATCCCAGGTGTCCATGGGGATGTCCCCAGCTAGGTCTTTGGGCAGCAGAGTAGAGGGTGCCTGAACTGGTCTTGCCCCACTATCACACTGATG